AAGGCCGCTAGTTTATTGTTCACCCCATACTCATCCTGTGAGCGGTAGCGCAAAAATCATTACAGAGGGCACAAAAGGTGTTTACCAGACCTCATCTTAGATTATTACATAAACAATTTCATCTATCCTTCACACCTTATAGTTACAATGTCAGCTAGTTACAGAGAAAGTGCTATTACAAGAGCTATATATTTACAGTAAGTCATCATATATTAATGGTTGGTCTTATCGCTAATACATAATTGTTTGACCAATGGAGATATTACAGTCATTAGGGAGCTTCTGTTTATTATTAGTCTTCACAATACACTACTTGTTTCTTAATCTCATATGTCGTTTATCTACTGAGAGCGAAATATGAATACAGTGCAAGGATTTCAGGTATTTTATCCTTAGTAATAAGATAGGTTGCCATATCACACAGCGTGAGCTTAGATTTATCTCTAAATGACTCAATTTTACTACAATCCAAGATATAGTGTTCGAGTGTGTGTCCCTGTCTTTGTCCACACACTTTACACTTTACTTCATCTAGATCTCTATACAAGCCGAACTGCCAGAGATACTTGTAGCCAAGTCTTATACGAGCTGTGACAACATCTGTTAGTCTACTGACTTTGTTACTTGCCCCATACACATGTTTTACTTCACACATTTCATTGTGATGAACAATGGACCTGATAGTTCCAGTTTGCACTGTTCTACTTTCTTCAAATCCATCCAGGAGTTCTCGTCTAATGACACTTTTAAGGGACTATTTGATAACTCAAGATTCCGTTCAATACTGTCTTTATTTACTGCAGCCTTAGCTAGGGCGTCAACTTTGTCATGTTCCTGCAGGCCAATGTGAGAAGGAATCCACAACATTTTTATATTTACCCTCTTGTTAAGTATTCTTATATATCTACGTCTAGCTTCCAAGACAAGCACGTTATTACTTGATTGCAAACTGTTTATTGCTCGTAGTGAGGATAGGGAGTCAGAAATAATTAAGCTGTCTACTTCAGTGTTGTCAATAATTTCGAGTCCTATCAGTATCGCTACCATCTCGGCTTGCATTGTGTGGACGTTCAAGGAGTGCCTGACCAACCGGGCTGTGGTGGGTATGTGGGCCTGCGGGCCGCTCCAAGCAACAGCCTGGTGGACCAAACTCACAAGTCGTGCCTGGCCTCGGGCCGGGCTTGGGGAGTAGAACAACTCCCAGAACCCCATCAAGCAGGTAGGGGAGGGTGGGGTTGTGATGGTGTGAGGAGCGTGTAGCGTGGTGGGCCGCCCCGAACACACACACCAACAGTGTAGACGGTGACACAGTGTTGTAAACACGCTCAAGTTGTGTACACTGTGCATCACAGCGCTCACATTGGTCTCTCGGGGAGTGTCGTCCCGCGCTCTCTCCTGTCTCAAGTTACAAGTGTGCTCCAACCTTCACTCTTCAAACTCTCAGTCATCTTCACACAACGTCGCTTTTCGCTGGTGTGCGTTACACAAGTGCAAAAATTGTCGTGCTAGAAAATAGATTCCCTGGCGAAAGTGACGTACTGTCGTCCCGTTTTCTGTGTTGGGTCCTGTGGTAGATGTTACTCCGGTCCACGTGAAGTTGACCGTTGACGGTGGGGCCTGAGGCGGCCGGACCGTCACCACCAGCCCACTTAACGCTGCCTCACATAATTACCTGTGAGTGCTCTTGGTATACATCTTCAAGGACTCTTCCCCTAGGTGTGTGCACTGATTGTGAAGGTGTTGACGGCTCTTAGTGTTGAAGGCTCTTAGTGTTGACGTGTTGACATTTATGACCCGCAGCTGGTTGATACCTGGTTGATGGGGTTCTGGGAGTTGTTCTACTCCCCAAGCCCGGCCCGAGGCCAGGCGCGACTTGAGTGTTTGGTCCACTAGGCTGTTGCTTGGAGCGGCCCGCAGGCCCACATACCCACCACAGCCCGGTTGGTCCACCAGGCTGTTGCTTGGAGCGGCCCGCAGGCCCACATACCCACCACAGCCCGGTTGGTCCACCAGGCTGTTGCTTGGAGCGGCCCGCAGGCCCACCACAGCCCGGTTGGTCCACCAGGCTGTTGCTTGGCGCGGCCCGCAGGCCCACATACCCACCACAGCCTGGTTGGTCCAGCACTCCTTGGAGGAAATGATCTAGTCCACGGTTGTTCCGGCAATATTTCTTATGCTTGCTGGGAGGACGTTGAACAACCGCGGATCTCTGATGTTTATACAGTGTTCTCTGATTGTGCCTATGGCACCTCTGCTCTTCACTGGTTCTATTCTGCATTTTCTTCCATATCGTTCACTCCAGTACGTTGTTATTTTACTGTGTAGATTTGGGACCTGGCCCTCCTGTATTTTCCATGTGTATATTATTTGGTATCTCTCTCGTCTCCTTTCTAGTGAGTACATTTGGAGAGCTTTGAAACGATCCCAATAATTTAGGTGATTTATCGCGTCAATGCGTGCCGTATATGTTCTCTGTATTCCCTCTATTTCAGCAATCTCTCCTACTCTGAAGGGGGAAGTGAGTACTGAGCAGTACTCAAGACGGGACAACACAAGTGACTTGAAGAGTACAACCATTGTGATGGGATCCCTGGATTTGAAAGTTCTCGTAATCCATCCTATCATTTTTCTGGCTGACGCAATATTTGCTTGGTTATGCTCCCTAAACGTTAGGTCGTCAGACATTATTATTCCCAAATCCTTTACATGTTGTTTTCCTACTATGGGCACATTTGATTGTGTTTTATACCCTGTATTATGTTTAAGGTCCTCATTTTTACCGTACCTGAGTACCTGGAATTTATCACTGTTAAACATCATGTTATTTTCTGATGCCCAGTCGAAAACTTTATTAATATCAGCTTTCAATGTCTTCAGCCGAGGTAATTTACATACTGATTTTTGTGTTATCTGCAAAGGATGATACGAAGCTGTGATTTGTATTTTTGTCTATATCTGATATGAGAATAAGGAAAAGCAGCGGTGCAAGGACTGTACCCTGAGGTATAGAGTTTTTAACTGCACTTGGACTAGATTTTATATGGTTGACCGTTACTCGCTGAGTCCTGTTTGACAGAAAACTGAGTATCCAGCGTCCTACTTTACCGGTTATTCCCATTGACTTCATTTTGTGTGCTATCACGCCATGGTCACATTTATCGAAAGCCTTTGCGAAGTCCGTGTATATCACATCAGCATTCTGTTTTTCTTCTAATGCCTCAGTGACTTTGTCGTAGTGCTCAAGTAGCTGTGAGAGGCACGATCTTCCCGCTCGAAATCCATGTTGGCCTGGGTTGTGAAGGTCATTGGTCTCCATGAAATTGGTTACCTGACTCCTAATCACTCTCTCAAATACTTTTATTATGTGTGATGTTAGTGTAACTGGTCTATAATTCTTTGCCAATGCTTTGCTCCCACCCTTGTGTAGAGGGGCTATGTCTGCTACTTTAAGTGCATCTGGTATCTCCCCCGTGTCCAAGCTCTTCCTCCACACTATACTGAGTGCCTGTGCTACTGGCACTTTGCATTTCTTTATAAATATTGAATTCCATGAATCTGGACCCGGGGCTGAGTGCATGGGCATGTTGTCAATTTCTCTTTCAAAATTTAGTGCGCTCGTGTTTATATCAGTTATATTTACGGGGGTTTGAATATCCCGCATAAAGAAATTGTCTGGATCTTCCACCTTCATGTTGTTTATTGGAGTGCTAAACATGTCCTCATACTGCTTTTTTAGGATTTCACTAATTTCTTTGTCATTCTCCGTGTATGAACCGTCACTTGTACGAATAGGTCCAATACTGGCAGTGGTTTTTGCTTTTGATTTCGCATATATGAAGAAGTATTTTGGATTTTTCTTTATTTCCTGAATTGCTTTCTGTTCTAACTGCCTTTCTTCAGTCCCATATGAGTGTTTCAATTTCCGCTCGATTTCTTCAATCTCCCTATTTAAATTATTCCTTCTTTGACGGGAAATTCGTGTCTGCATAAGCAGTTCCGTTATTTTTTTCCTGCGTTTATAGTGTCGTCTGCATTCTCTTTCTACGTTGGATCTCTTTCTGGCTTTCCTCCAAGGAACATGTTTCAGACAGACTTGATACGCTTCCGAAGTCAGTTTTTCTATTCCTTCTGTAGGACTTGTATTACTTAGAACAGTTCCCCAAGGAATGTTTGTAAGTTCCCTGTTTATTATCTCCCAGTCTATCCTTTTATTATTAAAATTGAATTTACTGAATAGCCCCTCTCGCTTTATCAACGTTTTAGGTCTATTCTGAGTATTGATGGTCGTTTGCACTTCAATGAGTTTGTGATCTGAATATGTGGTATCTGATATCGTAATGTCTCTGATAATGTCTTCATTGTTCGTAAAGACCAGATCTAGAATATTTTCATTTCTCGTTGGCTCCGATATCTGCTGATTGAGTGAAAATTTGTCAGAGAATCTAAGTATGCTGCTGAACATACTGAATACCCAGCTGAAATACCCATACTGAATCACAGCTGAAATACCCATACTGAATCACAGCTGAAATACTGCATTTCTAGGGTCACACACAGGTTGCTTACTGACACCCATATTGAGTTCCATGTTAGTTAGATCTATGTTGCATCACCTGTACTCCGCTAGTGGGGCGTGTGGGGATTGAGCTCCGGCTCTCTGGTCCAGGGTGTTGTGGTGATATTGATACGGGTTAGTCGTAGAGTTGGTTGAGAGCGCTGAGGGTGTGAACATTTGTTGTGTAAAGTTGAATGATTAGTTTATATTATTTCTTTAAATTGTACTCTCATAAGTATTGATGTTATGACACTCTTAGGTAAATAATTAACTGTAAACTTCTGTAAACTAACCCAGCTATAAACAGACAGACATGAATATAGACAATTTTATTGAATATAGGCTTAGTGTAGAATGAAGACAGGTGTTGAGTGTTAGATGAGGTAACATTGGGCACATGTTGGGAGGTGTTTGGTCATAGAGTGTAACTATTGTGTTATTACAGGTACCTGAAGAACATGGACTTACAAGTGCTGCCCACCCTCGGTTACCTGCCATCTCTCAAGGCCCTCTATCTGTGAGTGTCTTCACCTTTGGTTATACTTTCCTGCAAGCATTAAACCTTCATAAGTTACTGTGTTTAGTTACTATAACGATAACTGTGACCTGCAGTCGTGTGGTGGTCATAGTGTGTGTGTGTGTGTGTGTGTGTGTGTGTGTGTGTGTGTGTGTGTGTGTGTGTGTGTGTGTGTGTGTGTGTGTGTGTGCGCGTGCGTGTGCGCGCGCGCGCTCAGTTATCGTAGTGTTGTGTTAACGTGTTTATATTTGGTGTAGTTTATTGTGAGCAGGTGAGGTGTTGTGTTACTTGCGTGGTGTTAGAGTACTCATGGGTGTACTGCTACCGTGCTACGGAGCCCGGGTGTTAGCCGGCACTGTGTCATGACACTCCCATGTGTCACCACCATGTGTCGCCGCCACCAACTGGCACCATGTGTCTAGGTCACTTATTATGCACCCCATACCCATACTGTGGGTGGCAGTGGAGCCCATACCCACACTGTGGGTGGCAGTGGAGCCCATACCCATACTGTGGGTGGCAGTGGAGCCCATACCCACACTGTGGGTGGCAGTGGAGCCCATACCCACACTGTGGGTGGCAGTGGAGCCCATACCCACACTGTGGGTGGCAGTGGAGCCCATACCCACACTGTGGGTGGCAGTGGAGCCCATACCCACACTGTGGGTGGCAGTGGAGCCCATACCCACACTGTGGGTGGCAGTGGAGCCCATACCCACACTGTGGGTGGCAGTGGAGCCCATACCCACACTGTGGGTGGCAGTGTAGCCCATACCCACACTGTGGGTGGCAGTGGAGCCCATACCCACACTGTGGGTGGCAGTGGAGCCCATACCCACACTGTGGGTGGCAGTGTAGCCCATACCCACACTGTGGGTGGCAGTGGAGCCCATACCCACACTGTGGGTGGCAGTGTAGCCCATACCCACACTGTGGGTGGCAGTGGAGCCCATACCCACACTGTGGGTGGCAGTGGAGCCCATACCCACACTGTGGGTGGCAGTGGAGCCCATACCCACACTGTGGGTGGCAGTGGAGCCCATACCCACACTGTGGGTGGCAGTGGAGCCCATACCCACACTGTGGGTGGCAGTGTAGCCCATACCCACACTGTGGGTGGCAGTGGAGCCCATACCCACACTGTGGGTGGCAGTGGAGCCCATACCCACACTGTGGGTGGCAGTGGAGCCCATACCCACACTGTGGGTGGCAGTGGAGCCCATAGCCACACTGTGGGTGGCAGTGGAGCCCATACCCACACTGTGGGAGGCAGTGGAGCCCATACCCACACTGTGGGTGGCAGTGGAGCCCATACCCACACTGTGGGTGGCAGTGGAGCCCATACTCCCCCAAATCTACGAGTAAAGAGCCACCTGAGAGTGTAGTACAGATAAAGCAGTGTAACCCAACAAGGCATGAACAAGGCACCAGCCCACGCCTGCCTGGCGTGAATGGGAGACAAACAAAACGCGGAAGATTTCGCCAAAGTTTGAGACAGATGTGACCATGGTGTTATTGGGCACAAAATGACCTCAGAGAGAATACTGCCAAAGTATGAAGATGGGTGTTGAGCTTGCTAAGGAAGAGACCGCAGTGTGTAATAGTCAACACAGTCCAATCGGGATCCTCCACCGTGAAAAGTTCAGTCCACCAACGTCCCGTACTTGCTGCTGTACTTGTTCTCCTCATGTCATAGACAATGACACAAACTACGGCACTGTATCATCCTTAGCAGATGACACTACCATTGTCATGCGAGTAGACAATATGTACACGACACACCAACCCTTCACTCTAATGTTAATCACCTCTTTCAATGGGCCACACGTAATAATATGTTGTTTAATGAACTTCCAGCTCCCGCGCCATGGAAAAAACGAAAATGTAAAAACGGAAACCACACACACACAAGTGTGGCCCAGCTGGCTGTGTGGTCCAGCTGGCTGTGTGGTCCAGCTGGCTGTGTGGTCCAGCTGGCTGTGTGGTCCAGCTGGCTGTGTGGTCCAGCTGGCTGTGTGGTCCAGCTGGCTGTGTGGCCCAGCTGGCTGTGTGGTCCAGCTGGCTGTGTGGTCCAGCTGGCTGTGTGGTCCAGCTGGCTGTGTGGTCCAGCTGGCTGTGTGGTCCAGCTGGCTGTGTGGTCCAGCTGGCTGTGTGGCCCAGCTGGCTGTGTGGCCCAGCTGGCTGTGTGGCCCAGCTGGCTGTGTGGTCCAGCTGGCTGTGTGGTCCAGCTGGCTGTGTGGTCCAGCTGGCTGTGTGGTCCAGCTGGCTGTGTGGTCCAGCTGGCTGTGTGGGCCAGCTGGCTGTGTGGGCCAGCTGGCTGTGTGGGCCAGCTGGCTGTGTGGGCCAGCTGGCTGTGTGGGCCAGCTGGCTGTGTGGGCCAGCTGGCTGTGTGGGCCAGCTGGCTGTGTGGGCCAGCTGGCTGTGTGGGCCAGCTGGCTGTGTGGGCCAGCTGGCTGTGTGGGCCAGCTGGCTGTGTGGGCCAGCTGGCTGTGTGGGCCAGCTGGCTGTGTGGGCCAGCTGACTGTGTGGGCCAGCTGGCTGTGTGGGCCAGCTGGCTGTGTGGGCCAGCTGGCTGTGTGGGCCAGCTGGCTGTGAAGACAAGAGCGAGGGAAGCCTAACCAGAGTCCAGACTCCGGGAGAAGAATAACTAGAGAACGTGCTGAGGGATTATAATGACGGAGAGAGGGAGAGAGAGAGAGAGAGAGAGGGAGGGAGGGAGGGAGGGAGGGAGGGAGGGAGAGAGAGGGAGGGAGGGAGAGAGAGGGAGGGAGGGAGAGAGGGAGGGAGGGAGAGAGAGGGAGGGAGAGAGAGGGAGGGAGAGAGAGGGAGGGAGAGAGAGGGAGGGAGAGAGAGGGAGGGAGAGGGGGGGGGGGAGAGAGAGGACTAAGACCTAGTATAACCCAGGATGTAAACATTGAGAATGCAGGAGCAGGAGGGTATTCCTGAGACACGGAGCAGAGGGCCAGGGATGAGCACCAGCGAGTTAAAGGAGAAGCAGAAAGATCATCTGAGAATGACAGCAGACGCACACGCGGCCCACAGCAGACACACACGCGGCCCACAGCAGACACACACGCGGCCCACAGCAGACACACACGCGGCCCACAGCAGACACACACGCGGCCCACAGCAGACACACACGCGGCCCACAGCAGACACACACGCGGCCCACAGCAGACACACACGCGGCCCACAGCAGACACACACGCGGCCCACAGCAGACACACACGCGGCCCACAGCAGACACACACGCGGCCCACAGCAGACACACACGCGGCCCACAGCAGACACACACACGGCCACAGCAGACACACACGCGGCCACAGCAGACACACACACGGCCACAGCAGACAGACGCACTCACCTGGTGGAGAAGCAAGCCATGAAAGCCACAGTACAAGATGAGGTGATGGACTTGAAGGTGTGAAGTAGTGTGTGTGTGTTGTGTACTATGATATATAACAGTGAGAGGAACCGGGTACACCTTGTAGAGAGTGTGAAGAGCGGGAGTGTGTAGCACTGGCGCCTGCTGCAGGAGACACGGGGCCTTCAACTATGGAGAGAGTCCCTTTACATGCACCTCACACAAGGTGCACCAGCAGCTCATAATAAAGAAAGTTGTACAACATCTGGAAAGGAAATCATATATAACACAACACCACAATGGTTATAGTGACGGCAACTATCGCTGCTCAACACTTGATCAAGTTTAGGAACCTGGGGTTGGGGGGGGGGGGAGATCACACAGGGTCGAGGTGGTGGGCAGACTGTATATTTTGGGAGTGTGAGAAGCCTTGGACACTGTGGCCTGTATGGCATATGGATCCCATCCCATCTTGGAGTTGGAAAACATGACTTTGTAGATCGATTGGCCAATGAAGCTTGCAGGAAAGAAAACACTGATTATGACTTTGGACTATCTAATGCAATTATTAGAAACATACAAATTAAAGAAATTAATTCAGATTTAGAAGAACTAAGAAATGCCCAGAGCAAGTAACTTAATACTGCAAGCTGCAGTATTAAGTTATGACAAGTTTTGTAATAATAGGTATTTGTATGGTCAGCACAGTAACCGGACCAGGCAATGTGATGTAGTCATTGTGGTAATTCGCCTTGACTATAGACACATCTGGCAGGTTAGTGAGGCTGAGCCACTACCAGAATACTCAGATTGTAAACTCTGTGATAAACCTTTAATGCATTCACTAGAACACTATATTGATGAATGTGAAACCGTAAAGGACTTTAGACCTCCTGGCCTATTGTACCACCAACTGTGTAACTATTTTATTGACTCAGGTGTTCTGGACGACATCCTAACAATTTACCCAAAATTTGCTTGTCCATTTTAAAGAATGAAGAACAATTGTTATTTATATTACTTCTAAGGTGCATCACTTATGAACCCATCCCTGCCCTTGTGTGGCAGTGCACAATAGAAAGTTGTTTTCACATATTCATACATTACAACATTGATTGTAACCATGATATATATGTGGGCTTCCGCCTACAGTTTAGACCTATTGTCTTATGTATGACCCTCTGTCCTGCGTGACAGTGAATACCAGCATTATCCTCACTTTAATAAGACTATCAAAATCCTCAGATTAGGCAAACTTGTAATTAATTTTGTCAATAAAGATGTTAATAATAATAGCCATCACCTAAGATGGAGAATGTGGCATCAATGACAGGGAAGATGGGGCAGAGGGTACGTGACTACTTAAGCAACAGTAGACACCATCCTCTCTCTCTCACAGTTACTCAACCACTATGACAAAATCACCGAAGCTCTAGAAGAAAAGCAAAGTGCAGATGTTGTATACATAAATTTTGCAAAGGCATTCGACAAATGTGACCATGGAGTGATAGCACACAAAGTGAGGTCAGTGGGAATAACCAGTAAAGTAGGACGCCGGATACTCAGTTTTTTGTCGAACAGAACACAGAGAGTAACAGTCAATCAAATAAAATCTAGTCCAAGCGCAGTCAAAAGCTCTGTACCTCAAGGTACAGTCCTTGCACCGCTGCTGTTCCTTATTCTCATATCAGATATAGACAAAAATGCAAGTCACAACTTCATGTCATCCTTTGCAGATGACACAAAATCAGCATGAAAATTACTTCTGCTGAAGACATTGAAAGATTACAAGCAGATATTAATAAAGTTTTCGACTGGGCAACAGATAATAACATGATGTTTAACAGTGATAAATTCCAGGTACTCAGGTACGGTAAAAATAAGAACCTTAAACATAATACAGAGTACAAAATAATCAAATCAAATCTTCAGGTTATACGTCCTAAACGACCAAACGTTTCACTTTTCTAAACGACCTAACGTTTAGGGAGCATAACCAAGCAAATATTGCGTCGGCTAGAAAAATGATCGGATGGATTACGAGAACTTTCAAATCCAGGGATCCCATCACAATGGTTGTACTCTTCAAGACACTTGTGTTGTCCCGTCTTGAGTATTGCTCAGTACTCACTTCCCCCTTCAGAGCAGGAGAGATTGCTGAAATAGAGGGAATACAGAGAACATATACGGCACGCATAGACGCGATAAAACACCTAAATTACTGGGATTGTCTCAAAGCTCTCCAAATGTACTCACTAGAAAGGAGACGAGAGAGACATCAAATAATATACACATGGAAAATACAGACATCAAATAATATACACATGGAAAATACTGGAGGGCCAGGTCCCAAATCTGCACAGTAAAATAACAACGTACTGGAGTGAACGATATGGAAGAAAATGCAGAATAGAACCAGTGAAGAGCAGAGGTGCCATAGGCACAATCAGAGAACACTGTATAAACATCAGAGGTCCGCGGTTGTTCAACATCCTCCCAGCGAGCATAAGAAATATTGCCGGAACAACAGTGAACATCTTCAAGAGGAAACTAGATAGTTTTCTCCAAGGAGTGCCGGACCAAACGGGCTGTGGTGGGTATGTGGGCCTGCGGGCCGCTCCAAGCAACAGCCTGGTGGACCAACCGGGCTGTGGTGGGTATGTGGGCCTGAGGGCCGCTCCAAGCAACAGCCTGGTGGACCAACCGGGCTGTGGTGGGTATGTGGGCCTGCGGGCCGCTCCAAGCAACAGCCTGGTGAACCAACCGGACTGTGGTGGGTATGCGGGCCTGCGGGCTGCTCCAAGCAACAGCCTGGTGGACCAAACTCTCACAAGTCGAGCCTGGCCTCGGGCCGGGCTTGGGGAGTAGAACTCCCAGAACCCCATCAAGCAGGTATCAACCAGATACCCTTCATATAGTGTAGGGTGACACGCTAGTGTGGTATATCACCCTTCATATAGTGTAGGGTGACACACTAGTGTGGTATATCACCATATAGTGTAGGGTGACACACTAGTGTGGTATATCACCATATAGTGTAGGGTGACACACTAGTGTGGTATATCACCATATAGTGTAGGGTGACACACTAGTGTGGTATATCACCATATAGTGTAGGGTGACACACTAGTGTGGTATATCACCATATAGTGTAGGGTGACACACTAGTGTGGTATATCACCATATAGTGTAGGGTGACACACTAGTGTGGTATATCACCCTTCATATAGTGTAGGGTGACACACTAGTGTGGTATATCACCCTTCATATAGTGTAGGGTGACACACTAGTGTGGTATATCACCATATAGTGTAGGGTGACACACTAGTGTGGTATATCACCCTTCATATAGTGTAGGGTGACACACTAGTGGGGTATATCACCATATAGTGTAGGGTGACACACTAGTGTGGTATATCACCCTTCATATAGTGTAGGGTGACACACTAGTGTGGTATATCACCATATAGTGTAGGGTGACACACTAGTGTGGTATATCACCCTTCATATAGTGTAGGGTGACACACTAGTGTGGTATATCACCATATAGTGTAGGGTGACACACTAGTGTGGTATATCACCCTTCATATAGTGTAGGGTGACACACTAGTGTGGTATATCACCATATAGTGTAGGGTGACACACTAGTGTGGTATATCACCATATAGTGTAGGGTAGTCGCCTCACTAGAGCAGTGGCCAAGTATGGTGGTCAAGACCAGGCTGGCGGCGGGTGTCAAGAAGCCGGCCTCGTGGTCAGATAGTGTTGTTGTTGTTGTTTAAGATTCCCTACTTGGAACAAAAGGTGTCAAGCAGCACGGTCTATGGTGAGCCCGAAGTGGACTTGTAGCAAAGCTTTCAGATAGTAGTAGTTGTTGTTGTGACAATGTGCACCATGGTACAAGGATAGGCCTACTAGCAACAGTACAGTTGGTACTAGTCACTTTATAGGGTCCTAAGAAAATTAAGCTAAAAACAAACAAATATTCTTAGGCCTAGTGTAGTGCACATATATAGTATATTAGGCCTGAGATAACGTGTTAGGCCTAGTATAGCGCACATGTATAGTATATTAGGCCTGAGATAACGTGTTAGGCCTAGTATAGCGCACATGTATAGTATATTAGGCCTGAGATAACGTGTTAGGCCTAGTATAGCGCACATGTATAGTATATTAGGCCTGAGATAACGTGTTAGGCCTAGTATAGCGCACATGTATAGTATATTAGGCCTGAGATAACGTGTTAGGCCTAGTATAGCGCATATATATAGTATATTAGGCCTGAGATAACGTGTTAGGCCTAGTATAGCGCACATATATAGTATATTTGGCCTGAGATAACGTGTTAGGCCTAGTATAGCGCACATATATAGTATATTAGGCCTGAGATAACGTGTTAGGCCTAGTATAGCGCACATATATAGTATATTTGGCCTGAGATAACGTGTTAGGCCTAGTATAGCGCACATATATAGTATATTAGGCCTGAGATAACGTGTTAGGCCTAGTATAGCGCACATATATAGTATATTAAGCCTGAAATAACGTGTGTTAGGCCTGGGATGTTAGGTTACTTGGTCGTTGAAACTTAAATATAAAATGTTTCCCGGTTTGTCCAAATACAATAGTACCAATTCCTACTTTGTAATTGTGTTGTATGTGGGTATATGTAGTATGGTCCTGGTGAGTACCACGAGTACTGCCTCGACACGAGCACGGGCTCAAGGCTCCCACTTGAAGGCGAAGGTAATAATATAATTAATGTTTATAGTGTTGTTTACGTGTGGCAGGTGTGGAGCTCAGGTAATGTTGTGTTGCAGGAGCGGCAACAGTGTAGAGAGGTAATGTTGTGTTGCAGGAGCGGCAACAGTGTAGAGAGGTAATGTTGTGTTGCGTGTGTTGCAGGAGCGGCAACAGTCTGTCGTCGGTGGAGGAGGTGTCGCTGGCGGGGCTGCCCAACCTGCAGGAGCTGGACCTCTCCAGGAACCGTCTAGTCTCCCTCAGCCCCAAGCCCTTCACTAACGTCACTCTCATCAAGCTGTGAGTATCTCCCCTCCTCTACCCTCTACCTCCCCTCGTCTCCCTCTACCTCCCCTCGTCTCCCTCTACCTCCCCTCATCTACCCTCTACCTCCCCTCGTCTACCAATATTTCCCTCTTAACTTGATGTAATATAAGAAGGTATTACAAAGCCTTAAGCGAGGCTTGGACCCACTTGCACGGCGCCAGGTGACTTGCCTCATTAATACTTGTATGTGTCTACCTTGATACTTCTTATGTGTCTAGAGCTGCTAAGCACAACCAATGAGGTGGTAGAGGTACTGGGAATCAAGGTAGACAAAATTAAACCTAATTATTATTCTAATATATAAACCTCCAGATACAACGGTTGAAGAATTCAGAGAGCAGATGCACAAAATAGAGAACATCCTTAATAACCTGGCAAACCCAGCTCCAGATATTATCTTGCTTGGTGACGTCAGTCTACCAAGTCTAAGATGGAGAATGGTAAACAAAAATATCATAGCAGGGAACCACCCGGGAAATGATCAACCGCAGGTCAGAGAACATTTAAGATTCTGTGACAACTTCTCGCTCCGTCAACAGATTACAGAACCAACTAGGAACGAAAACACACTTGACTTGTTATTTACAAACAACATTGAACTAATCAGAGATATTACAATCTCAGATACTACATAATCAGACCTTAAGCTCATTGAAGGGCAAGCTAACATTAATAACGGTAGTAGGTCCAAGAGACCCAACAAGCGAGAAGGGGTATTCAGTCAATTCAATTTCAACAATAAGAGGATCGACTGAGAAAAATAAATGTAGACCTTGCAAACATTCAACAGGAGGGGGTCTTAAGCGACCAAACTACCACACAGGCTTTGCTCAGAGCTTTGGCTCTGAGAGGCGGGACCAAAGAGCTGAAGATCAACCCCCCCCAAGTACAATAAGGTGAGTACAGGGAACAGCTCAACTGACAGCTGAAGCTTACAAGGTCTGCTTGAAGCACGTGCCTGTGAGGAGGGGCAGAAAGAGGACCACTCTAGGAAGAGAACGCAGACCACTGTACAGGAGAAGGAAAAAAATAACGGAAATGCTTCAGCAGACACAACTATCACAAGACAGGAAAATAAATCTAAACAGGGAGATCAAAGACATAGAACAAACGTTGAAGCGATCATACGAGTCTGAGGAAATGGAAAGAGATTAGTGAAATTCTAAGAAGCCAGTATGAGGCTATGTTTAGCACACCAATAAACAACATGAAAGTTGATGACCCAGACAGCTTCTTTATGAATGACATTCAAGCTGCAGAAAATATAACGGATATTAACACAAACTCGGAAGACTTTGAAAGAGAAATTGACAATATGCCTATGCACTCAGCTCCTGGGCCTGACTCATGGAATTCAATATTCATAAAGAAATGTAAAGTACCAGTAACGAGAGCACTCAGCGTAATATGGAGAAAGAGCCTGGATACAGGGGAGATACCAGCAGCACTTAAATCTGCAGATATAGCTCCTCTGCACAATGAGGGTAGTAAAGCCTTGGCAAAAAATTATAGGCCAGTTGCACTAACATCACACATAATAAAAGTTTTTGAAAGAGTGATTAGGAATTAAATTTCTAGTTTTATGGAAAATAATGAGTTACACAACCCAGGACAACATGGATTTATAGCGGGAAGATCCTGTCTGTCACAGTTACTCAACCACTATGACAAAATCACAGAAGCTTTAGAAGAAAAGCAAAATGCAGATGTTGTATTCAGACTTTGCAAAAGCATTCGACAAATGTGACCATGGAGTGATAGCACACAAAATGTGGCCAATGGTAAAGTAGGACGCTGGATACTAAATTTCCTGTCCAACAGAACACAAAGAGTAACAGTCAATCAAATAAAATCCAGTCCAAGCGCAGTTAAAAGCTCTGTACCTCAAGGTACAGTCCTTGCTCCACTGCTGTTCCTTATTCTCATATCAGATATAGACAAATATTACAAGTCACAGCTTCGTGTCATCCTTTGCAGATGACACAAAAATCAGCATGAAAATTACCTCTGCTGAAGACATTGATAAATTACAAACAGATATTAACAAAGTTTTCGACTGGGCAGCAGAAAATAACATGATGTTTAACAGTGATAAATTCCAGGTACTCAGGTACGGTAAAAATGAGAACCTTAAACATAATACAGGGTACAAAACACAATCAAATCTGCCCATAGTAGGAAAGCAACATGTTAAGGATTTGGGAATAATGATGTCCGACGACCTAACGTTTAGGGAGCATAACCAAGCAAATATTGCGTCAGCCAGAAAAATGATAGGATGGATTACGAGAACTTTCAAATCCAGGGATCCCATCACAATGGTTGTACTCTTCAAGTCACTTGTGTTGTCCCGTCTTGAGTACTGCTCAGTACTCACTTTCCCCTTCAGAGCAGGAGAGATTGCTGAAATAGAGGGAATACAGAGAACATATACGGCACGCATAGACGCGATAAAGCACCTAAATTATTGGGATCGTCTCAAAGCTCTCCAAATGTACTCACTAGAAAGAAGACGAGAGATACCAAATAATATACACGTGGAAAATACTGGAGGGCCAGGTCCCAAATCTACACAGTAAAATAACAACGTACTGGAGTGAACGATATGGAAGAAAATGCAGAATAGAACCAGTGAAGAGCAGAGGTGCCATAGGCACAATCAGAGAACACTGTATAAACATCAGAGGTCCGCGGTTGTTCAACGTCCTCCCAGCGAGCATAAGAAATATTGCCGGAACAACCGTGGACATCTTCAAGAGGAAACTAGATAGTTTTCTCCAAGGAGTGCCGGACCAACCGGGCTGTGGTGGGTATGTGGGCCTGCGGGCCGCTCCAAGCAACAGCCTGGTGGACCAAACTCTCACAAGTCAAGCCTGGCCTCGGGCCGGGCTTGGGGAGTAGAAGAACTCCCAGAACCCCATCAAGCAGGTAGCGCTGGTGGCTGAATGGACAGCACGCTGGATACGTAGTCTTGTGGTCTGGGGTTCGATTCCCGGCGCCGGCGTTAACAGATGGGCAGTTTCTTTTACCCTGATATCCTGTTCCCCTAGCAATAAATAGGTTCCTGGGAGTTAGACAGCTGTTACGAGCGGCTTCCTGTGTGTAAGGGGGGGGGGGGGTAGGACACGCTAATAAGTTTAGTGCCAAGTGTAGAGGAGGCAGCAGCGGCACATGTGTGTAGGTGTAGTGTGAGGGACAGTTTGTGGTGCAGGGTGGAGGCTCCCGTCTTTATAGGCACCACTTGGCCCAAACATGTGCCCTCACTCACTGTGGTGGAGGCCGGTCTTCCCCTCCACCACACACTGGTGGCTGCAACTGTGGCGTCATTCTCAGCCCACAACTGAGGCAGGTGTGGCCACCACCACCACCACCCTCCTCAGCCCACAACTGAGGCAGGTGTGGCCGCCACCACCCTCCTGAGCCTGCAGTCTTGCCGGCCGCCGTCACCGCCTGGAGAACTTTCCGGCAGTGTTGGCGGGCGCCCCTGGCTCCCACCGCCGCCCCGTGATCAATACTGCTACACTTACTCTCTCCCTCCTCACTCAACTCTTAACACACGAACCAGTCGTGTTATGTGGGGGTGTGTGGTGTTATGTGGGTGTGTGTGGTGGTGTTATGTGGGGGTGGGTGTAGAGGTGTTATGAAGGGTGGGTGTGTGGTGGTGTTATGTGGGGGGTGTGTGGTGGTGTTATGTGGGGGTGTGTGGTGGTGTTATGTGGGGGTGTGTGGTGGTGTTATGTGGGGGTGTGTGGTGGTGTTATGTGGGGGTGGGTGTGTGGTGGTGTTATGTGGGGGTGGGTGTAGAGGTGTTATGAAGGGTGGGTGTGGTGGTGTTATGTGGGGGGTGTGTGGTGGTGTTATGTGGGGGGTGTGTGGTGGTGTTATGTCTGGGTGTGTGGTGGTGTTATGTGGGGGTGTGTGGTGGTGTTATGTGGGGGTGTGTGGTGGTGTTATGTGGGGGGGGGGTGTAGAGGTGTTATGTGGGGGTGTGTGGTGGTGTTATGTGGGGGTGTGTGGTGGTGTTATGTGGGGGGTGTGGTGGTGTTATGTGGGGGTGTGTGGTGGTGTTATGTGGGGGTGTGTGGTGGTGTTATGTGGGGGTGTGTGGTGGTGTTATGTGGGGGTGTGTGGTGGTGTTATGTGGGGGTGTGTGGTGGTGTTATGTGGGGGTGGGTGTGTGGTGGTGTTATGTGGGGGTGTGTGGTGGTGTTATGTGGTGGTGTTATGTGGGGGTGTGTGGTGGTGTTATGTGGGGGTGTGTGGTGGTGTTATGTGGGGGTGTGTGGTGGTGTTATGTGGGGGGGGGGGTTGTGTAGAGGTGTTATGAAGGGTGGGTGTGTGGTGGTGTTATGAATGGTGGGTGTGTGGTGGTGTTATGTGGGGGGGTGTGGTGGTGTTATGTGGGGGGGGGGTGTGGAGGTGTTATGAAGGGTGGGTGTGTGGTGGTGTTATGTGGAGGTGTGTGGTGGTGTTATGTGGGGGTGTGTGGTGGTGTTATGTGGGGGTGTGTGGTGGTGTTATGTGGGGGGGGGTGTGGTGGTGTTATGAAGGGTGGGTGTGTGGTGGTGTTATGTGGGGGTGTGTGGTGGTGTAATGTGGGGGGGGTGTGGAGGTGTTATGAAGGGCGGGTGTGTGGTGGTGTTATGTGGGGGTGTGTGGTGGTGTTATGTGGGGGTGTGTGGTGGTGTAATGTGGGGGTGTGTGGTGGTGTTATATGGGGGGGGGTGTGGAGGTGTTATGAAGGGTGGGTGTGTGGTGGTGTTATGTGGGGGTGTGTGGTGGTGTTATGTGGGGGGTGTGGTGGTGTTATGTGGAGGTGTGTGGTGGTGTTATGTGGGGGGTGTGGTGGTGTTATGTGGGGGTGTGTGGTGGTGTTATGTGGAGGTGTGTGGTGGTGTTATGTGGGGGTGTGTGGTGGTGTTATGTGGGGGGGGGGTGTGGGTGTGGGTGTTATGTGGGGGGGTGTGGTGGGGGTGTGTGGAGGTGTAATGTGGGGGTGTGTGGTGGTGTAATGTGGGGGTGTGTGGTGGTGTTATGTGGGGGTGTGTGGTGGTGTTATGTGGGGGGGTGTGGTGGTGATATGAAGGGTGTGTGGTGGTGTTATGTGGAGGTGTGTGGTGGTGTAATGTGGGGGTGTGTGGTGGTGTAATGTGGGGGTGTGTGGTGGTGTTATGTAGGGGTGTGTGGTGGTGTTATGTGGGGGGGTGTGGTGGTGTTATGTGGGGTGTGTGGTGGTGAAATGTGGGGGTGTGTGGAGGTGTTATGTGGGGGTGTGTGGTGGTGTTATGTGGGGGTGTGTGGTGGTGTAATGTGGGGGTGTGTGGTGGTGTTATGTGGGGGTGTGTGGTGGTGTTATGTGGGTGTGTGTGGTGGGGGTGTGTGGAGGTGTAATGTGGGGGTGTGTGGTGGTGTAATGTGGGGGTGTGTGGTGGTGTTATGTAGGGGTGTGTGGTGGTGTTATGTGGGGGTGTGTGGTGGTGTAATGTGGGGGTGTGTGGTGGTGTTATGTGGAGGTGTGTGGTGGTGTAATGTGGGGGTGTGTGGTGGTGTAATGTGGGGGTGTGTGGTGGTGTTATGTGGGGGTGTGTGGTGGTGTTATGTGGGGGTGTGTGGTGGTGTAATGTGGGGGTGTGTGGTGGTGATATGAAGGGTGTGTGGTGGTGTTATGTGGGTGTGTGGTGGTGTTATGTGGGTGTGTGTGGTGGGGGTGTGTGGAGGTGTAATGTGGGGGTGTGTGGTGGTGTTATGAAGGGTGTGTGTGTGGTGGTGTTATGAAGGGTGGTGGTGGTGTTATGAAGGGTGGTGGTGGTGTTATGAAGGGTGGTGGTGGTGTTATGAAGGGTGGGGGTGGTGACCCCCCCCCCCTCCTGCCAGTAATGAGGATGTGGTGACCAATGAGAGCAAGTGGTCCTACATGGCTTCCCCCCCCCCACACACACACTCGACTATCTATGTATTTTACCACGAAATTGTCAAGTATTGCATGTTAGAGGAACGGTAACGATTGTACCAGTACAGTGTGTGTACCAGTACAGTGTGTGTACCAGTACAGTGTGTGTACCAGTACAGTGTGTGTACCAGTACAGTGTAATTACCTAAGTGTAATTACCTAAGTGTAGTTACAGGATGAGAGCTACGCTCGTGGTGTCCCGTCTTCCCAGCACTCTTTGTCATATAACGCTTTGAAACTACTGACGGTCTTGGCCTCCACCACCTTCTCACTTAACTTGTTCCAACCGTCTACCACTCTATTTGCGAAGGTGAATTTTCTTATATTTCTTCGGCATCTGTGTTTAGCTAGTTTAAATCTATGACCTCTTGTTCTTGAAGTGCCAGGTCTCAGGAATCCTTCCCTGTCGATTTTATCAATTCCTGTTACTATTTTGTACGTAGTGATCATATCACCTCTTTTTCTTCTGTCTTCTAGTTTTGGCATATTTAATGCTTCTAACCTCTCCTCGTAGCTCTTGCCCTTCAGTTCTGGGAGCCACTTCGTAGCATGTCTTTGCACCTTTTCCAGTTTGTTGATGTGCTTCTTAAGATATGGGCACCACACAACAGCTGCATATTCTAGCTTTGGCCTAACAAAAGTCATGAACAATTTCTTTAGTATATCGCCATCCATGTATTTAAATGCAATTCTGAAGTTAGAAAGCATAGCATAGGCTCCTTGCACAATATTCTTTATGTGGTCCTCAGGTGACAGTTTTCTATCTAGAACCACTCCTAGATCTCTTTCTTTATCAGAATTCTTTAAAGATTTCTCACATAATATATAGGTTGTGTGGGGTCTATGTTCTCCTATTCCACATTCCATAACATGACCAACCTATAGTGTGTGTACCAGTACAGTGTGTGTACCAGTACAGTGTGTGTACCAGTACAGTGTGTGTACCAGTACAGTGTGTGTACCAGTACAGTGAGTGTACCAGTACAGTGAGTGTACCAGTACAGTGAGTGTACCAGTACAGTGAGTGTACCAGTACAGTGTGTGTACCAGTACAGAGTGTACCAGTACAAAGTGTACCAGTACAGTGTCTGACCAGTACAGTGTGTGCACCAGTACAGTGTGTGCACCAGTACAGTGTGACCAACACTGCCGGTGGGGTTCTGAGGGTGGTGGTGTGGCCTCCTGGCTGGGATGAGGAAGTAACTGATAAATCTGAGTGAGTGAGTGTGGGTGGTGCAGGTGTGTGGTGGTGGTGCCTGTGGTGGTGGTGGTGGTGGTGGTGGTGGTGGTGGTGGTGGTGTAGTTGGTGGTGTAGTTGGTGGTTCAGTGGACCGGCCCCAGCAGCAGGGTACCGTACAGGGTACTATAGAGAGTGAGGGTACAGTGCCCATTAACCACCTTAACACTACTCCTGCTGGCACCATCAATCACACTTGCCCGCCACCTATTATTTCATTAATCTCAAATTAGAGTAATATCCGCTGCATTATTGCTGGGTTCAATAATATTAGTGTTATTTCCTGGGGTAACTAAAGTGACCTTGGTTAACCAGGAGGTGTGGTAAGGGACCGGGCCGTGGGTACGTTGATCCCTGGAACAACCACTTGGTCGGTAGGTAGCTTACGATCGCCTCCGTATTCATTCGGGTGTAGTGTGTGTTGCTTCATTTTGTTCACTGTATACATTATCTTTAGTATGTGTATAGGCTGTGATTGTTTCAATGCACTGCCAACTATGTGAACTTTTTATTATATATTAAATGTGTTCGTAATGGATGGAAAATGAGTAATTAGTTATGTTATCCTGAGATTAACAAACTTAATACTTCAGATTATTTTAATGTTAGTGTATTGGTGAGTGTAGCGTTGGTCTTTCCTTGCTAGATCAGGCCATAATTACATACACACTGTATCTGTTTGGTTCAACTTTTGAAATGATTGACATGACTATTCATAAGAGGTTTACAAATAGATATTTTATGTTAAATAACTTTATTAGATTAGCATATAATGGTGAGAGTTTCTCCCCAGGAACCTGAGTAAGAACATGATCGCTCGACTGGATGCAAGATCGTTCCGTACACTTGGTTCCCTGGCTGAGCTCAAGTTGTCTCGGAACCTGCTCACCCCAGCCACATTCAACCGTTCTGCTTCCATCTTCACCAACCTCACCAACCTCCGCTCTCTGTAAGTTACCTCACCAACCTCCGCTCTCTGTAAGTTACCTCACCAACCTCCGCTCTCTGTAAGTTACCTCACCAACCTCCGCTCTCTGTAAGTTACCTCACCAACCTCCGCTCTCTGTAAGTTACCTCACCAACCTTCCCCCATGTCCTCCGCTCTCTGTAAGTTACCTCACCAACCTTCCCCCATGTCCTCCGCTCTCTGTAAGTTACCTCACCAACCTTCCCCCATGTCCTCCGCTCTCTGTAAGTTACCTCACCAACCTTCCCCCATGTCCTCCGCTCTCTGTAAGTTACCTCACCAACCTTCTTGTGTCCTCTTGACTCAACTTTTTTAATGTACAGTCCTATACATAAATGTTTTAATAACACTCATATTGGGACCAAACTAGTGTTATGAATGCTCCATGCCTCGCCAGTGACTTGGGCAGGGAGTCACTGGTGCCAAACTGGGCCAACTTATGACCGAGAAACAATCTTAAGTCAAAACAGTTTCTTTGTTAAGAAACTAAGAAAAATAAATCTAAGCAGGGAGATCAAAGAAATATATAGCAGACACTGAAGCGATCATACTAGTCTGAGGAATTGGAAGAGAAAGTTATACAAGACATAACGAAAAATCCTTAATATATTGTTGCATATGTGAAATCAAAATAAAAAAATCTCCACTAACATTAGACCTTTACTTATAACTGAATGTTCGCACACAGAGGATGGCAAAGAAATTTGTGAAATCCTAAAAGGCCTGTAAGTGGCTGTTTAGCACCCCAATACACAAAATTAAAATTGATGATCCAGACAGCTTCTTTATGAATGAGATCCAAGCTGCAGATATTAACTTGAACGTAGAAGACTTTGAAAGAGAATTTGATGTATCCATGCACTCAGCCCCTGGTCCTAACTCAGGAAATTATTCATAAAGAAATGTAAAGTACCAGTAGTGCGAACGCTTGGTGTAATATGGAGAAAGAGCCTAGATACAGGGGAGATGCCAGCAGAACTTAAATCTGCAGATATAGCTCCTCTGCACAAAGGGGGGTAGTAAAGCTTTGGCAAAAAGTTATAGACTAGTTGCACTAACATCACACACAAAAGATTTTGAGAGTAATTTGGAATCAAATCTCCAGTTTTATGAAAAAGATGAATTTCACAACCCAGGACAACCTGGATTTAAAGAGGGAAGATCCTGTCTTTCACAGTTACATAAACACTTTGACAAAATCAGAGAATATCCACCAGTCATATCCACCCATATTTCATGCTTAACCACAATTGAATTGGTGAGTATCAGATGGAAGTGTGTGAATAATTAAAAATATTTCTTAACTCATTTAACTTAAGCCAACCCTGACAAGCCTATGTCTGTCCTCTTCCCTAGACCATTTTCCTACAAATTTAGCTAAGGCTAGCCCCAAGGGGAATTATCAGGAGAAAGTGCCAAGCCATTATGATTACAGTATATAGCACTTGGAAGGAATAAAGATTTGGGATGGGACAGGGGAAGAGGAAAGGTGCCCAACCACTTGGACAGTCCGAGATTGAATGCCGACCTGCATGAAGCGAGACCCTCGCTCTACCATCCAGTCACTTGGCTATGACACTGGACACTCCAACTTTGGACTGACAGACAGACATTCTTCCTTATAGTATAGATTAGATGTATGTATGTATAATCAGTCATTCTCTGCAGTTAGGTCTGCATCATCTGAGTATTTTCAAACTTGTTGTTCTCCATTTATTATTATATATTTAGTTAACATCCTGCTATATTGTTAAGAGTTCTTAAATTGACAGTGTTCACAACATCCCACAAGACTTCATACACATTCTTATCACTATTATTTATTATCAAAAATCAATGTATATTTGATCCAACCTTTTTTTCAAGGGCTCTACAAAAGTCTTAATGTATGAGATTACACAACAAATCACTGAATAAGACATAGGCAGCAAGGAAAATCCAATATCATTAAGAAAGAAAGTGTACCAGTCACGGTACTCTGCCTCAGTAATGCTACATTAGGCTAACTAAGACCATTCTAGTAGGATTTCTCAAGTTTATTGCAATTTTTATCATCATTGTTATTTCTCATGTGGACATGATTTTTTTTCCTAGAGACCTGAATGGGAACCAATTACACCAGCTTGAAGGCTTGATGTTCAAAGATCTCAAGAAACTTAAAATTCTTAAGTTACGACGTAACGAAATAACCACCTTCAGCGACGGTGTCTTCTATGGCTTGGAATCCATTGAGAAACTGTAAGTGATATGATACAGTAACAGCTTTGAGCTATATTGTATTTAGTAGGCAGAGGCACATAATCGGTTCAGGAACTGAACCCTCTAGTTCATTTAGATAAACAAATAAAAATCTTTTGATGCTAGTAGTACATGAGATTTGTTAAAGGATTCACTGTGCCTCTTGGGGAAAATAGAAGGTCCAGTTTTAATATAAATACAGTACTGTACACAATGAATGAGGATGGGGGATATAATATATTTTAGGGCTCAAGTCATGGAAAATTGCGTATGCTTTCTTTTCTTTTTGTTTCATGTGTTTCTTACATACCTGTAGGTGTTTACAAAGAGCGAGATCTAGCTTTTCATTTCCTGCCTCTTAGTTACTTGCACCTGGTTTATTTTAAATATTTTTTGATGTTTGAGCACTTTGTTATATTTGTTCTTTACTTGTGGATGCAGGTGAACATACAAGGTACAACTTGTACCTGTTGGCCATCTGTACTTCCTTACATCTCTTGACTAATTTCCATTTCCAGCATGCAGTGATATCCTTGTGTCCTGTTTTTCTTAATTGGAAAAGGCTGTCATTGTCCACCTTGTCTCTTCTGCAATGTATTTTGAACATGGTGGTCATGTCTCCTATGGTCCTTTCAACCTTTAGAGTGATAGATGGAATTCCCTTAACCTGCCTCATAAATAGGTTGTACTTCTTTCTTTGGGCTCTATTGTCTTATTGAAATCCTCTGATTTCTTTGTGTTTTGTGAGGTCCATATTCCATGACAGTGCTGCATTTCTGGTAGGGGTTAGACATAAGCTGTGTAAAGTGTTTTGAAAGTGCCCTTGTTTAAGTTTTAATGCAATTCTTATGTTTTCTAGCTTCTCACATGTTGCTTGTGTTACTTTGTGTGTTTCCAATATTAGTGCTCAGATTATATCCACTGGCAAATCTTTGTCTATTTCTGATTTTGGTACTGTAGCTGCATTCTTCTTAAAGTTTGAATATCTACATTTATAGGAAAAATAAAAAATATAAAAATGGAAACCATATATAAAATGCAGTTAAAACATACCATCGAAGGAAAAAGCAATGTAAAGGATCGAGGAGTAATCATGTCAGAAGATCTCCCCTTTAAAGAACACAATAAAGTAGCTGTCACGACTGCAAGAAAAATGACAGATTGGATAACAAGAACCTTTCAAACAAGGGATGCCATACTAATGATATTTTTCAAGACACTAGTGTTCTCTGGAGTGGAATATTATTCCAGACTAACAGCCTTATTCAAAGCTGGAGAAATTGCTGACCTGGGGAGCTTGCAAAGATCCTTTACTGCTAGAATCCACTCTATGAAGCATCAAAATTATTGGGACCAATTAAAAACTCTAAATTTGTATTCTCTAGAGTGCAGACGAGAGATGGATATGTGGGCCTGCGGGCCGCTCCAAACAACAGCCTGGTGGACCAAACTCTCACAAGTCAAGTCTGGCCTTGGGTCGTGCTTGGGGAGCAGAAGAACTTCCAGAATCCCATCGAGCCGGTATCAAGCAGGATACATAATAATTTATAAATGGAAAGACAGGAAATATCTCTTAGCATCAGGCCATAATAAAACTGCAAAATAAACTTTGGAGAGTTAATTTTTCAACTTCTTTTGCAAGGGAAGAGGAACATAAAAATAGAGAAATATTAATGTTAGGAACATTGATCTTGCCCATGCTGTCATATTTAGTAAGTCTACAAGAAGGACTACTACCAAAATAAATAAATATACTGTACATTATATAACTGTACATTATATATATATATTTGTATTTATTTATTAATTTATTTTTAGGCAATCACCTAGGCTGCAATAGAGACTATGGAAAGCATCTACAGCTTATATCTATAATGTACTTACCTATCAGTTATGGCTTGTTAATGACTACTAGGGATTGAGATGTAGCTCTTTATGCCCTGCCTCCTAGCCATTTATACCTGTCAGGCTAATTACCTATTTCAACATAACATTTTCCCTATACTTTCTTGTTATAGTTGTGGATGGAATTGGCTTCAACAACCTCCTCCTTTAGTGCACTCCATTTGCCTACACACTTACAGGGAATGAGAACTTCCTTGCATATCTTTGAACTGCAAGTCAAGCTTCAACCAATGTTCCCTCATTCTCCCCGTTTTTAATTTAAATAGGCTTCCTATATCCACCTAATCTATTCCCCTCAATATCTTGTACATAGTTATTGTATCCCCTCTGTTTCTTCTCTCTTCTAAAGTTGAGAGGCCGAGTTCTCTCAACCTGTCCTTATAGCCGAGGCCTCTCAATATCCGCTACCTCTGTGTTTGTTTCAGCATCATTATATGGAATAAAAAAAACATTTTGAGGCAATGGGGTGACTTGAACCGGCATTCTGGTGGCTTCCAGACACCTGTCTTAACCCACTTGGCCAATAGTAGGTTAAGGCAGGTGTCTGGGAATCACCAGAATGCTGGATCACATCACCCCATTGCCTCTAAATGATTTTCTCATTGTTATATCATGTCATTGTGATTTCTTTGTGATTAAATACAAAATTATATAATGGTGATGTCAGAGTGTGGGGTGTGGTTGTGCTGGTTGTTCATGATTATGCAATGGATAGGTGGCTGTTACAGAGGAACCTTGGTACTCGAAGGCCAAGTTCGTATTCGGTAGTTGGCTCGGCACTCGCACGCAAACACGCGTTCCTGACGCGTCAGTTTTACCATTGCTGTCGCTCAGTGCACAACGCCACTGTACTTCTCTAAACTTTCTCGGATACTGTATTTTTTATATGCTTGGTGTAAACAAATCACCATGGCACCTAAGAAAGTTAGTGAAAAGAACCAAGCAAAAAGAAAATTAGTAAGAACCATGATTGAGGTGAAAATGAACTCCTAGCAAAATATGAAAGTGGTGCCTGTGTGGCTGCTCCTGCTACCGAGTTTGATGTGCGTAAATGTAGTTCTCTAATAGAAGAAATGTGTGCAAAATGGGAGGGAAGTGGAAAGATTTCTTGAAAACTATCACCCTAACAAAGGTGTGGTAATGGTAGGGGACTCACCTGGTTGATACCTGGTTGATGGGGTTCTGGGAGTTCTTCTACTCCCCAAGCCCGGCCCGAGGCCAGGCTTGACTTGTGAGAGTTTGGTCCACTAGGCTGTTGCTTGGAGCGGTCACGTGCCACAGGATAACATATCTCTTACATATCTCTTCCTCTGCCTCACCACCTTCCACATATGCCACTAACTCTTAAGTGCAGGTAAAGTGTGTAGTGTGTTAGCATTAATTGCATTTATTTATTTCATTAATATATTTTGTGGTCTGGAACAGATTAATCCAATTTACATTGTTCCTTATGGGAAAAAATTGTTCAGTACTAGGAACAGATTGGCACTCCGTCCTTCTTCAGGAACCAATTAAGTTTGAGTACTGAGGTTTCACTGCATTTTGTTTATACTGTTTCTTTTTCTATACTGCTTTCCTCTTGTCCATACTGGTGCCTCCCATCCCAAGAACCTGGGAAGTGAAGTGCTGGTAAACTTTAATCATGTACAGTACAAATTTTGAATACAGTATTTCATATATTTTGCTTATTACTGTACATGCATTTCTTTTATCTCCATAGATTTTTGGACTACAACAATATAACTACAGTGTATGCAGGATGGCTGTTTGGCCTTAAGTCCCTCGGCCATTTGTCTCTTGATTACAACCAGATTGACTCGGTCCGACCCAATGCTTGGCAATCTACAGAAGGACTGATTTCCCTGTAAGTACAGCTTACTTATAATTAATGCTTTTCTGGTCTGATGAGTTAATTCAAGGATGTAAGAACCTGATCTGTGATCAACTTAGACATTTATGTGGTGCTATTTTTTTTACACTAAACATATTTATCAATACTTGATGTGGTGATGACCAGACCACACACTAGAAGGTGAAGGAACGACAACGTTAATAGGAGCTGCCTCGTATGGGCCAATAGGCCCTCTGCAGTTCTTATTCCTATTACTATCCCCTCTACTATACTTTGCTCCTCACCTTTCTCAAGCCTATTTATTGCCTGCATTTACTTCATCACAATCGAATTGAGAATGGTCCAGGACGGACCATTCCAAGAGTCTTCGTCTCTTCACCTTCTAGTGTGTGGTCTGGTCATCATACTTTAGCCACGTTATTGTGACTCATCGCCTGCATACTTGATGTGGTGTTCTTGCTGCTTCTTCTCCAGGAGTGAAAAAGTAGAGCATGAGAGAGACATTTACAGCATATATTGTCATCTTTCCTGGAATAAGACACTACACCATACTTGGTGTTAAGTACCAGTTTCTGGACCAATTTCCCCACTTACGACATATGTATTTGTTATTTATCATAGCAGTTTAGTCCATTGTACTAAACAGTTTGAGCTCCAAAGCACTATGAGTTGAACCATAACAATAACACCCTTCAGTTGAGGATGACCTAGTAATGTTTTGGAGATTGTAAACTGTTTACTAAATGGTTAAAACTATACCAACTAAGCCACCATGATTAAGATAAGAAGTACACGTCTCATAAGTGGACATGGAAGTGTTTTGTGTATTTGAGTCTAGGGGTACTGAATATACAGTACACTACAAAAAAAGTTATGTTCAGTATTAGTCTCTTGAAGGTAAAAAAAATACCCAATACATATGTAAGTGTGTTATTAAACCAAACCAATTCTTATACCATGTCATAGCTCAGTTGATTAAGGCGCGTCTGGAATAGTCTCGGACGTAGGTTCGAATCCTCGTCACGACCCTTGTGGATTTGTTTAAATTAAATTAAATTTTGGGATGAAACCTACATCCCTTATCAAGATGATGCAAACAATGTTTCAAACAAGATATTAAATGCCTGCATTTGTGTCTGGCAGAATGCCTCATGTGGCATCCATCATTAAATGTCAATATGATTGTGCTTCCCAGGGACTTCCCAAGGGATGCCGAAACTTTTGATGACTGATCAAGTGTCTTGGCCTTCTCTACAGGTTGACTCCTCTTTAGTGACCTTGCCTCTGGCCATTGCAGGAGTTTTGTTTTCCTATGTGGTACCTGTTGATCTGGAGAGCCTTGCAACTGTGCTTGTGTATGTTGAAGATGTCCCTAATATGCTGACTTGTTTCTGTACATGTCAAGGACCTTGCACTTTTACCTAGGGTGTGCTTGGGTCGTGTACATGATTTTTCGTAATCCATGGCAGTTTATACCCTCTCTTGCCAAATGGTCTAGATCACGGGAAGGATTGACTAGGTGCCAAGTCTAAATTATACACCTCTGTTCAAAATGCAGTGATTGGGTACCTGCTTGTTAAATAATTGATGATCATATTCAGGGGAACTAATGGATAAGGCTTACCATGAGCTATGGGAAGGGAAAGCTCCAGGCCTGCTAGCAGGGTTAGAAGTCATGAACAAATCCACAAGGTCCGTGATGAGGGTTCGAACCTATGCATGGAATGTTCCCAGCTGCGCTCTAGTCAACTGTGCCACGACATGGTAAAAGAATTGCAACCTGGAGTGCTACTGTCCTCACTAGGGTCCCGAAGCGTCTCCGAAGCCCAATCTGGTTTTCAAAGTTTTTCGACTTCAATCGAAGCACAAGAGGTAGAACATTAGGTTGACAGAGCCCAAGTGCATGGGGGATGTGTGTGAAAACCCTATTTGGCTTTGGAAATGCTTCATGGTCCTTGTGAGGGCAGTAGCACTCCAGGTTGCAATTCTTTTACCATGTCATGGCACAGTTGACTAAGGCGCAGCTGGGAACATCCCGTGAGTAGGTTCGAACCCTCATCACGGCCCTTGTGGATTTGTTCATTTGATATATCACACTATTGTAATTTCTGTGTGTATTAGAAGTCATCTGTTTCTGTACCCACCTGTGGTTTAAAAAAAAAAAAAAAAAATCAGGGTTTGGTGCCTACTTTACCAAGACACTTTCCCTGCATCAGACAAGGCTTCATGCCTGTCTGTGCACCAGTCCTGGTTGTCAGTGTCCTTTGTCCCCTGTACATTACTTAGTCTTGTATGTATAATTGGCTGGGTTGCTACTTCTTTGCCATCCAATTCCATACCCAAAATTGCAATTTATACATTCCCAAGAAGTGCTTCAAGTTTTTTGGATCCTAATAGATAATGCTATTGTATCCATCATTTGGACCCGTTATATTTATTTGGCCTTTCACCTGCGGGTATGTAACATGTATCCATCCCAGATATTTTGTAGATGACTAATGTGACTGTTTTTGCTGGAATGATTGTGATTGTGCAAATTCCTCAGTCTCCCACCAGTGGCACCCACTGAAGTTGTGTGCTGTTTGTCAGTGCTGGACCTCGGTGTTGGCCTTTTCAGATGAAGGTTCACATTTGTTTTTTGGCCCTCTTTAGGGTCTAGTTTCTGGTCCCTGAGGGTTTTTTGTTGTGCTTTAAGGTGTTCTCTTTTTCCCTGTCTCAGTATGAGCTGTGTTTCTGGACGTTTTGCTGGGTAGCTATTTGTGGTATAGTTATGCCCCTTCTGTGTAGGTTTACATTGCTTTGGTACATACTGCAGGCCAGAGGCTGTGTATCTGAATTTGACTAATCATCTTTTGGAGACAGGGCTTTTCTGTTGTCTGAGGTATAAGGTCTTCTGCTTTTTCTTGGCTCGCAGACACCCTTTGTTTGGTTTGAGCAAGTGGCAGCTATCCTGTTATTCACAGGTGTTTGAAAAACAGCTGCCCCAATTTTTCCGGAGCCCTTCCTTCATGGCTGCCAGCAGTGCCCTGTTTGCTTGTGTCTCGTCCTGCCCCACATCGTTAGGCTTTGGCTGCTCCAAAGTTTCTCCACGTCTGTTTATACCACTTGGATGTGGTGTTTGTTGTGGTAGACTATGAGGTCCTCTGTTCTTGTGCAGGACCATGGTCTCCATTCTGGGCTTCTCTTGTCCTCTACCTTGTTGTATGCTGCCGCAGATTTCTTTTCCAAGTTGCTCACTCTGATAATATGGGACAGGATTGCAGATTTCCATGTGGATTGTTTTGCCTGCCTGCCTGCATGCCTTTGCCTTTACTCTCCAAGAGTCTGCTTGGTTGCTCTCCTTCCTGCTCGCTACCTTATTATTTCCTCTCCTCAAAGTTGTGGTTTCACTGGTTTTGGCTGCAGCGGGTATCTTCTGCCACTCTGTGGGGTGTTTCTGCCGCCTTCTGTGTGTCTAGTCCTGGCGGCTTCATGGTCAACCGGCACCTGCTTTCCTTGAACGCCCTGTTCCTTTTTCCCTGTAGGGTTTTTGCAGTGTGAGAGGTAAGTTGATAGAGACCCCAGGTGACCTGGGCTGCTGACTGCTTGCAGCTCGGTACTTTTCAATTTGGTAATTAACAGAAGTAATGATTGTTTTGCCTTGTTTACTCAGGGGTGCTTAATTGTCTTCAGTTAGTTGCTAGTCTTGTTGTACCTATACTGTACATTTTAGTAGATTTCCCTTGTTTTGGGTTGATCTCTGATTTCCCAAGCTCCCCTTTGCCCTGTAATGAGTTAGATTCTTGTCTTCATCTTGTAAGATCACAGATGGGTCTTGGAAACATGGTGGTACCAAAGCTAAACTTGGGGAATTATTTGTGGCTCGTCAGAAAATTTTGTTTCGTTATATTCAATACTTAATTTTTATTTGATTTGTAATTTTTCCAGAGACTTGTCCCATAACCGTTTGGTGTCACTGAGGGAAGGAACATTCAGGGGATTAGGTTTGCTGACGAAACTGAAGATATCGCACAACCACCTTGCCCATATAGAGCATAACTCATTTGAGTCAACTTCTAGTCTTCTTGCTCTGTAAGTTTTGCTTCTAGTGTATTCCTAAACAAGAGTTATGCCATGTATCATTAACTTAAATTGTGAGTTAATATTACTTGTTATATTATTGTATTTTGTACATTTTATACTTTTATACCTTTATATACCATTACTGAAATTATCCATTATTTCAGGGACCTTGGTCATAATCAGCTTCATTGGAGTGTAGAAGACAATGGTGGAGCATTTAGTGGACTGGGTAACCTTGAGACACTGTCATTGGCATATAATGGTATCGAGACTGTGCATGTTGACACATTTGTCTCACTAGTGGCTCTCATGTCTCTTGATCTACGAGGAAATCAGCTTCGTTCCTTACCTCATAACCCTTTCTCAGGGCTGAAACATTTAACTTATGTGCAGCTGAATACATCTAGTCTTGTTTGTGACTGTCACCTATCATGGCTGCCTGAATGGATGGCAGCTATCACTTTCAATTCCTCCTCCTCTATGATCGCCTCGTGTAATTATCCACCTGCTCTTATAGACCGGCCTGTATCATCCCTCTCGGATAGTGATTTTAGCTGCGAGTCATCACCTCGACCCATAATCAGTCAGTCTCCAAAAGATCAGATTGTGTTGCATGGTGCTAATGTGACGCTGACATGTGTGGCTCAAGCTGGTGCAGCTGGGAGTCAACCAAAGTTCATGTGGCGGAAGGACAATCAACTATTGGTAGATTTACAGCCCGAAACTCTAATAAGCGTAATTGGAGGCGACGGTGAAGGTGGCGCCATACACAATGTAACTTCTTTGCTTCATTTGCACAATGTTTCGGATCAGGATAGGGGTGAATACCAGTGTTTTGTACGAAATCACTTTGGAGCGAGTTACTCTAAACGTGCCAACATTCAGGTTCACGTGTTTCCTTACTTCACTAAAACACCAACTAGTGTGGCTGTACGCATGGGAGAGGTAGCCAAGCTGGAATGTGTTGCTAAAGGTTATCCAACTCCTGATATATCCCTTCTGAAAGATGGAGGGGACGATTTTCCAGCAGCTCGGGAACGACGAATTCACGTCTTCTCCAATGAAACTATCTTCTTTATTAAGCCTGTACAACCTCATGATGAGGGCCAGTATACATGCAAGGCCACTAACGCAGCAGGTACAGCTTCAACACACGCCTCTGTAACAGTACGACAGATACCAGAATTCATTAAACCATTACAAGATGAAGTTGCTCGACTTGGAGATAATGCTCTTCTTGAATGTCAGGTAAGAGTAAGAAATTTCTTTGTTCTTGAGCAACACTTTTTGGATTGTATATTTTGATCTATGAAACTTTATTCTCTTGGAAAATTCCCCATCTTTGAGGTTGTGGCCCAATGTAAACTCTCTCATAGGCATTTAATATTTCCCTTCTTTTAAACACTTAATAGGGAATACTGCATGCTGTTGTCATCGTCTTATAAGTGAACCATAGAAATGTAATGTACGGAAATAATGCAGATTGCTTTACCAAATATATACTGCCTAGGCTCACTTATCTGGACTATATGGGATGGCCCCTCACCAGATAAGCCAGACTCCCAGTAAGAATTCAGCTTATCTGGACAAGTCCAAAGATGAACATATTCACAATTTTTTATATACCACAACCAACATAATTTGAATTTCAAAACACACACACACACACACACACACACACACACACACACACACACACACACACACACACACACACACACACACACATATCAGGCGTGTGATGCGGGACCAAAGAGCCAGAGCTCAACCCCCGCAAACACAACTAGGTGAGTACATCACAAGAATGAGGGAAGGGGATGTTTCATCAGTACTGGATCTAATATTCGCCAGGAAAGAGGAGGAGGCATTTGACATCCAGTACCTTCCTCCCTTGGGAAAGAGTGAACATGCTCTGTTGGACATTAAATACACTTTGCGATATAATCTAGTAGAGAATGGGGACATTAAAACAGTTGATAAACTAGATTTCAAAAGAGGACACTATGTGGAACTTAGAATTTTTTTTAATGAGTATAATTGGACAAACTTGTTGCTAGTCATGAAAGTAAATTAGATTTATGCCAAATTTTGCTAAATACAGTATACGATGAAGGCACACACACATACCAAAACAGAGATGCAGACCTGGGAAATAGGATTGGTTCAACAGAAATTGTGAGAGGGCCAGAGACCAAAAGACACAAACATGGAATCATTATAGGAAGAGGCCAAACCCCCAAGCACACCAGCGATACAAAGATGCGAGAAACAACTTCGCGACAGTAAGGAGACAGGCAGAGAAGAACTTTGAGAACGATACAGCAGACAAATGTAAATCAGAGCCAGGCCTTTTCGATAAATTCATTAAAAGCAAGCTGCAGGTAAAGGATAATATTCAGAGGTTGAAAATGGGAGAAAGATTCACAGAAAATGAAAAGGAAATGTGTGAAACATTAAATGAAAAGTTCCGAAGTGTGTTTGTACAAAATGAAATCTTCAGAGAACCAGACACAATAAAAATTCCAGAGAACAACATAGAGCACATAGAGGTGTCTAGAGACGAAGTGAAAAAATGCTCACGGAATTAGTAAGAACAAAATAGTTGGCCCAGATGGAGTTTCACCATGGGTTCTGAAAGAATGTGCACCTGAGCTCAGCATTCCACTTCATCTGATTTTTCAGGCATCCCTGTGTATAGGAGTTGTAGCTGATGTGTGGAAAAAGGCTAACATAATTCCAATCTACAAAAGTGGCAGCAGGGAAGACCTCCCTCCTCGATTATAGACTTGTATCATTGACAAGTGTAATAGTCAAAATATTAGAAAAAATAATTAAAACTAAATGGGTAGAACACCTGGAGAAAAACTATATAATATCAGACTGTCAGTATGGTTTTCGATCTGGAAGATCCTGTGTACCAAATTTACTCAGTTTCTATGATCGAGCCCCAAAAGATTTTACAGGAAAGAGATGGTTGGGTTGACTGCATCTATCTGGACCTAAAAAAGGCTTTCAACAGAGTTCTACATAAGAAAATGTTCTGGAAACAAACATATTGGAGGGGGTGACAGGTAAGCTTCTAACATGGATGAAAATTTTTCTAACTGATGGAAAATTTAGAGCAGTAATCAGAGGCAATGTATCGGACTGGAGAAATGTCACAAGTGGAGTACCACAGGGTTCAGTTCTTGCACCAGTGATGTTCATTGACTACATAAATGATCTGCCAGATGGAATACAGAATTATATGAACATGTTTGCTGATGATGCTAAGATAATAGGAGGGATAAGAAACTTAGATGATTGTCATGCCCTTCAAGAAGACCTGGACAAAATAAGTATATGGAATACTATTTGGCAAATAGAATTTAATAGGCATAAATACCATGTTATGGAATGTGGAATAGGAGAACATAGACCCCACACAACCTATATATTATGTGAGAAATCTTTAAAGAATTCTTATAGAGAAAGAGATCTAGGAGTGGTTCTAGATAAAATAAAATAAAATAAAATGTTTATTTAGGTAAGGTACATACATACAATAAATTTTTACAAAGATTGGTTGACTTATAGGTAGAGCTAGTACATACAATGCCTAAAGCCACTATTACGCAAAGCGTTTCGGGCATGATAAACTTAAATGACAAGCTTAATACTAATTGAGCATAATGAGTAGAATGAAAACAAGAAATGAAAACATAGATGAAAAAGCAGCACAAATACAATTATGTCGACAAACAGCGCTCTTTAAAAAAAAAAGACATTGGTTGACAATAGAAGGGTAAGGTAGGTTACATGGAATTTATTAGGTATAGCTTCGTTTTTAACTTAAACTGGTTGAGAGAGGTACAGTCTTTAACATGGTTGGGAAGGTCATTCCACATTCTGGGCCCCTTGATTTGTAGAGCATTTCTAGTTTGATTAAGTCGTACTCTAGGAATATCAAAACTGTATTTATTTCTGGTGTGGTGCTCATGGGTTCTGTTACAACCTTCTATGAAGCTTTTGAGATCAGGATTGGCATTATAGTTTAGCGTTTTATATATGTATAATACACATGAGAGAATGTGCAGTGACTTAATGTCTTAACATATTCAGAGATTTGAGTAGGGGTACCGAGTGATGTCTGGGGCCAGAGTTGGATATTGTCCTAATAGCAGCTTTGTGTTGAGTAATTAGAGGACGTAAGTGATTTTGGGTAGTAGAGCCCCAAGCACAAATACCATAGTTGAGATATGGATAGATAAGGGAGTAATAGAGAGTCACCAGGGCAGGGCGTGGTACATAATATCTGATCTTAGAAAGAATGCCCACAGTTTTTTAAACTTTTTTTGATATATTTAGAAGTGTCCCTGGAAATTCAGCTTGTGGTCAATGAGAATGCCAAGGAATTTGCCATCTAATTTGTTACAAATTTGGGTATTGTTTATTTTGAGATTTATTTGATTAGAGGATTTATTGCCAAACAGAATATAGAAAGTTTTGTCAATGTTAAGGGTGAGTTTGTTGGCAGTTAGCCAAAGATGGACTTTATTTAGCTCAGTATTTACTGTGGCATTTAGAGCAAGGGGGTCAGGACTGGAGTAAATGAAGGTTGTGTCGTCAGCAAATAGAATTGGTTTGAGGTGTTGGGAGGCATTTGGAAGGTCATTAATGTAGATGAGAAAGAGGAGAGGGCCAAGTATGCTGCCCTGAGGAACACCAATGTTGATGGGTAGGGTGGGAGAGATTGTATTATTCACAGAAACATATTGGAGCCTGTCAGTAAGGTAGGATTTGAGGTATTGTAGGGAGTGTCCTCTGACTCCATAATGATGTAATTTAAGAAGAAGGTTTTGGTGGTTGACAGTATCAAAAGCTTTACGCAGGTCCACAAATAACCCAACAGGGAACTCATTTTTATCAAGAGCTGTATGAATCGAGTTAAGCATACTAATAAGTGCATCGTTAGTGCTTTTTTTGGGTCTGAAGCCATATTGGCAAGGGCTAAGTATATTGAGTTTGGCTAGATATGAGTAAAGCTGCTTATAGATTAGTTTTTCAAAATTTTTTGACAAGTTTGGCAGGATTGATATAGGTCTGTAGTTGTTAACATCTGTGAGATCACCACATTTGTGGACAGGCGTTACTCTCGCTTTTTTTAGAATATCTGGAAAGGTTTGGAGTTCAAGTGAATTGTTGAAGAGCAAAGCAATAGCAGGGGCTAAAGATCTGGAGGCTTTTTTGTAAATTAAAGTTGGTATCTCCTCAAGGGCACCAGACTTGGTTTTAAGGGAAAGGATTATCTCATTGACGTCAGTGGAATTAATAGGCTTTAGGTACAGAGACTGTGGATAGTTACCTGTAAGATAGTCCTTAATGTCAGTACTGGAAGATGGAATATCATTTGCAAGGGATGAACCAATGGAAGAGAAGAACCTATTGAACTCAATAGCAGAATCAGAGGCTGAAAGCTGACCATCGTTATTAGACAGGAGAGTCGGTTTGTTATTTAAAGACTTCTTTGATCCCAATATTTGTGAAATTGTGCTCCAAGTTTGTTTAATGTTGCTCTTTATTTGGGTAAATTTATCTTCGTAGTATTTAGTTTTGGCTAGATAGAAAACTATCACCTGAGGACCACATAAAGAAAGTTGTGCGAGGAGCCTATGCCACATTTTCTAACTTCAGAATTGCTAAATTCTGAAGTTGGATAAATTGGATAAATTTGGCGGGAATACCCAAATATTCAGTTCAGTGGGCTTTGAATAATCGAGCTCATACAGTTCATGTAAAATATACAGGAGAAAATAAAACAAGGAAGCAGCATTAGAAGTGGACAATGTGAACGTCACTCAGCAAGTCAGGTTAACCCTAATGTTGCTATTGGCTTAATAGCCGTTAACACCGTTGTGTGCCAAAAATAACAAAAAAAAAAAAATTTTCTTTTGTCCTATAAAAGTGTTCATTTGTGTTCCCTGACCACGCGAGAAATAACAAAAAAATCATAGGCGACATATTTTGGACGCATTAGGACGAGGAATTCTGGCAAAATCTAGGCATTGACAGAGCAAGCGTTGGAGGTGGTCAGCTCTGCCTGAGCCGTTAGGTGGGAGTTGCCACAAAGATATTATTACCCAATTATTTCAGTGTCTGATTTTTTCTTTTGCAGTAATATTATTCAATAGTGCATAGTGTGATATATTTATATAATGTGTGAATCATTGCTATACTCAAAAGTATGGTATGCATATTAGGCATTCAATTGTTATGTTCATAAAGCAATAAGCAAATAGTTTTGCTATTATTACACTATATACAGTGGTTATATATATTCTATTAACTATATATATATATATATTCTATTACATTAATATTAATATAAGAGGTTATATATATTCTGTTATTATTTCCTTCCTTGACTGAGGATTGGTCTGTTAGTGCTTGGAATGCTTTGTTGAGCATCTTGCTGAAGGTCTCTTGTCAGGGAGGCAATAACCATTGGAATAGTGGTCACTTGATATTCTTTGGCTGCCTTTCTTTTGTCTTGGTAGGTGAACCGAGATCCGCATGTTTTGTTCACCATAACGAACCACTAAGTTGGTAGGGCGAGTCAAAACAGCAACCAGTGGCTGCCAAACACCAGTCAGCCAATGCCACCTCCTTCCCTCCCTCAACAACACCTCACGTGCCAACCCCTCTCCTCCCACCATGCTGTTTTTGCTCTTATTCACTATATACAGATGTTATATATAAGTATCTACATGTTTTGTTCACCATAACTGTACAACTAAGCAGGTATGGTGAGTTCAGACAATAACAGAGGTCGCCACACAGTCAGCTGACGCTTCCTCCCTCCCTCCCTCTTGTTCAAGGTCAAACGCACTAACATTCCTCCACCCCAACCGTACTGTTTGTGGTGTTATTACACTACACACACACACACACACATATACAAGTATCTACATGTTTTATTCACCATAACTGTACAACTAAGGTGGTATAGTGCCCAAAGATCATAGTGGTCACCCTCTACACAGCATACGTCATGCAGACAACGCCCTCTCCCTCACCAAAATGGCTCCTCCCAACATATTCCTATTGTTGTTATTACACCACATACACGTTATATATGCGTATCTACATTTGTGTTCACCATAGCAAACCACTAAGCTGGTATGGCGAGTCCAGACAATAACAGTTGGCCACACAGAGTCAACAGATGACACTACCTCCCTCCCTCACCAAGATTAATCCTCCCACCATACTACGCACAGTGCTAATTATCACCACAATTGTCTACCATGGAAGACAAGCAACACGCTGATGTAATATGCACAGATTTCGCCAAAACTTTCAACAAATGTGTCCATGGTGTTCTTGTGCACAAAACGTGCTCAGAAGGAATTACAGTATTGGTAAAGAAGGGAGATGGATCTTTAACTTCCTAATGAACAGAACCCAGAGTGTAATAGTCAAGACAGTAAAATCTGGATCATCCACCGTGAAAAACCCAGCCCCCCAACATATTGAACTTGCTCCAGTACTTTTTCTGAACCTCATATCAGACATAGCCAGGGATCTAAACTATAGTAATATATCATCATTTGCAGATGACACTAGGAATTTCATGAGTAGACAAGATAGAGATCACAGTAAAGTCTAATCTGATGTAAATCAAATCTTTCCATGGGCCACAGAAGTTAAAATGATGTTTGATAATGATAAGTTCCTGTTACTGCACTATGCAAAAAATTCAAATATCGAAATGGAAATCACACACACAGTGCAGCCAAGTCACAGTATTGAAATAAAAAGAAACTTAAAGGATCTGAGAGTAATCATATTGGTAAACCTGAATTTTAAAGAACACAATCTTTCAAGCACCATACCATTGACACATTTTAAGACACTAGTGCTCTGTAGGGTGGAATATTATTGCCTACTAACAGCCTCATTCAAAGCTGAAGAAATTGACCTGAAGAACTTGCTAAGTTTTTTTACTGCCTGAATCCACTCAATAAACAACTAATTTACTGGGACTGCTTAAAAATTGTAAGCCCGTATTCCCTAAAGTGCAAGTGGTAGAGATACATAATAATTTACACTTGGGAAATATTAGATGGACTGGTTCCAATTCTGCATATGGAAATACAGTAACTTCATATGAAACTAGGAGGCATGGTAGTATGTGGAAAATAGGCCTGTTGAAAAGCAGAGGTGCAATAGGTACTATCAACATCAGAGGCCCGAGACTGTTTAACACGCTTCTGTTACACATAAGAGGCATAACTGGCCGACTCCTCACAGTGTTCAAGAGAACTTGATAAGCACCTCCAAAGGATACCTGATCAATCAGGCTGTGACTCATACGTCAGGCTGCGAGCAGCCGCATCCAACAGCCTGGTTGACCAGTCCAGCAACCAGGAGGCCTGGTTAAGGACTGGGCCCTGGAGATGCTGATCCCTGGAAGCAACAACAGACAGGTAGAACATGTGGTAGAGTTTAAAGTGAGGTTTTCTCACCTCACATTTTTGGGCGTTTTAATCATCTAAAGAACTAAGTTATGGAGTTTGCAAGTTTCTGTTTGGAATAAATGGCAAGGCATTTTTTGTTTTTAATTTGCAAATCTGATTTGAATATAGTACAGAAATTTTATTTGTTAATTTTGAAATGTAATTGTTTTGTTTATATTTGAAAATAGGGTACTGGGCTGCCCACACCAAAGGTGGTCTGGAGCAAGAATGGCATTCCACTGGTAGACGATCGTCGCTACGTGTTGGTAGAGAAGAGTCGATACCTGCTCATCAAAGAGACACAAATGGACGATGTTGGAACTTACGTGTGTGAATTGACCAACATTCTTGGTACAGCACGAGGACATATTAATCTCGCCATAAGAGGTATGATTAGCTGTGTTTTGAAACTTGAACATTTTGTTAAACATTGAAATGCATGGAGTGTTTGCTCAACATTTTCATGCTATATACTACATCATTTTAGGGATACAATAAAGTAGTACTGTAGTTATAAATTATGTAATTAAAAACACAAACTTTTTTTTCACTAGTCCTCTGTTCTGAATTTTGGTATGCTATTCTGCTAATAAAACTGTTTTGTTATTTAAGGTTCAAATGTTCAAAGGTTGCATTTTGTTTAATTTTGTAATAGTATTTACTCTTTCCATACAAATTTGGATTAGATATTTTGAGGCCAATTCATCTAATGTTAACATCAGCAATAAAAAGGATGGAAAGTTCCTTAGCCTATACATAGATAAGAGATTCAACTTCAGCATCCACAAACATTACATCACCAAAAATGTCTCAAAAAACGGTCGGTATACTTTCTAAAATCAGGTATTATGTTCCAAACTCTGCTCTCCTCTCATTATACTACGTGCTAATCTATCCCTATTTTACTTATGGTATCTGTGCTTGGGGTTCAACCACTGCAAACTACCTCAAGCCCATTATCACCCAGTAAAAATTTGCTATCAGAACAATAACAAACATATTGCTTTCAGACAACACACTGCCCCCCCTGTTTAAATCCCTAAACATGCTAAACAAACTCACTCCTCACATTCTCTTGTGCCATTTACATGTATAAAATCTTGTTCATAGATGCAAACCCTGATCTGAAACTCTTCCTTGAGAGATGTAATAGGACCCATAATCACCACACCAGAAATAAATATCTCTGATATCCCCCCCAAGAGTCAAACTAAATCTGTGTAAACACTATACAAATACAGTAAAGTGACCTAGTCTATGGAACTCACTCCGTAACGAATTAAAAAGTTGTCCAACCTATGCCTTATTCAAAAGAGACACCAAGAAGTACCCAATTTCATCCTCGGTTTTTAACCTAGTGCTTCACACTCGCACTGTATCGTGTGCTACCACAAAATATGTGCCCAAGCCATATAACTTCACCATTGTAATCACTGCCATCATCTTATATCATGGTTGTTATGTTGAACTCAAATTATACTACAATGTACCTAGAAATCCTCAAATTATGCTACATTGTACTTGTCAATACTCCTCAAATTTCACTAAAATGTACCTACTATTTTTCTTACAATGTACCTGTTAACTTTTTTAAATTTTGCTACAAATTACCTACGTAAAATTATGTTAGATTAACCCTTGTATGGTGCCTGGCTATTTAGCATGTCACTCGCAGGTGCATACCAAAAAAAAAAAAAAAAATTTTTCTTCTAAACCTGTTAATTTGTGTTCACTGATCATGGGAAAAATAATAAAAAAATCGTAAGTGGCATATATTGCCCGCTATAGGGTGGGGAAGTCTGGCAACAAACAGGCGCTGACTCAGCGGCGTCCCAGGCGGTCAGTTGAGCGCCACCTGTCAGGCCGGAGTTGCCACAAAGAGATAATTACCTAATTATTTCAATGTCTGATTGATTTTTCGTAGTTTTTTTGCTGTAATATTATTCAATAGTGTGTAGTGTGATATATTTATATAATAAAATGAGTGAATCATCGCTGTACTCAAAAATATGGTGTGCATGTTGTTGATTCAATTATGTTCATCAAACAGTGAACAAATACTTTGTCGGTTATTACACTATATACACAGGTTATATATAAGTATCTGCATGTTTTGTTCACCATAACGAACCACTAAGTTGCTATTATGAGTCAAAAAGTAACGAGGAGTGACCGCGACACACCAGCCAGCCACTCTTGAGGTTCTTGAGGTTATCTTGAGATGATTTCGGGGCTTTAGTGTCCCCGCGGCCCGGTCCTCGACCAGGCCTCCACCCCCAGGAAGCAGCCCGTGACAGCTGACTAACTCCCAGGTACCTATTTACTGCTAGGTAACAGGGGCATTCCGGGTGAAAGAAACTTTGCCCATTTGTTTCTGCCTCGTGCGGGAATCGAACCCGCGCCACAGAATTACGAGTCCTGCGCGCTATCCACCAGGCTACGAGGCCCCTCGCTGCCACTCACTCCCTCAACACCTCACTCGCCCACATTCTCCTCCCACCATACTGTTTTTGCTTTTATTCACTATATACAGACGTTATATAGAAGTATCTACATTCGTGTTCACCATAACGAACCACTAAGTTGGCATGCTGAGTGGCAGTGCCAGTGGCAGCCCACCACTGGCTGCTACTTCCTCCCTCCCTCAAGTCGTCTGACTCGCCCACATTCTCCTCCCACAATACTGTTTTTGCTTTTATTCACTATATACAGACGCTATATATAAGTGTATCTACATTCATGTTCACCATAATGAACCACTAAGTTGGTATGCTGAGTGGCAGTGGCAGCCAGCCACTGGCTGTTCCTCCCTCCCTCACCTCACCTCACCTCACCTGACTTGCCACCATTCTCCACCCACCATACTGTTTTTGCTTTTATATACAGACGTTATATATAAGTATTTACATGTTTTGTTCACCATAACTGTACATCGAAGCTTGTATGGTGAGTAAAGGCACAAAGACATAGCTACTCTCACAGTCAGCTGATGGCTACCGACCTCAAAGCCAGACGCACTAATATTTCTCCTCCAACAATACTGTTTGTGGTGTTATTACGCTATATACACACATTATATGTAAATATCTACCTGTTTTATTCACCATACTTGTACAAGTAAACTGGTATGGTGCCCAAAGACCATCGTGGTCACCAGTAAATAACATGATAAATTGTGCAGACGACGCCACCGCCCTCACCAAAATGGCGGCTCCCAACCTACTCCTCTTGCTGTTTATACCCTCTATACACACGTTATATATAAGTATCTACATTTGTGTTCACCATAGCGAACCACTAAGCTGGTATGGTGAGTGCAGTCAATAAAAGGTGGCCATACACAGTCAGAAGACAATGCCACTACCCTCCCCTCCCACAGCATTACTCCTCCCTCCATGGAGCACAGCGCTAAATATCACCGCAATCCTGCTATTATCAGAACCCTGGTCAGTTTTATCACAGTCAGGGGTCTTCTGTAATAATAGCATCGCTACATAATAGCATGAACAAGTATATTATGGCATTTTTAGGCGATGCTGTGGTCACAAGCTGAACAGCAGTGCTGTGAGCTCATGCTGCATGCGTCAGGCTTGGTAGCTGACTCAATACTGAGGCCCCTAACACCCGGGAATTTGGCCCATGATTTTTTTAAAAAATGGTGTCTGTTTACAAGAGCCCTGATGAAGGTGTGGTGAACCCCGTGTATCCACGGGCCGTTTAAATCTTGCGTAGTACACCAAAGCATCATATGATGCGATGCGCAATTTACTGCAAGTCGGTCAAAGCATCATATGATGCGATGCGCAATTTAAGGGTTAATGAATACAATTCTCTTCACTTGGATATACAGCAAATGGAGGTCAATAACCTCACACAGTGAGGCGAGTACCTCACTAGCACACACAACACAACCTGTGTGTGTGGAGTATCAGGTATCAACCAGGAGTCCCGGCCATCTCTCTCTCTTGTGGAGTGCAGAAACGCTCCTCTCACGAAAATGCGTGGGATAACTTTTACACACAGAATCATACTCATTTACTAATACATACTCTTAAACACAAATGAAACATAAAAATTAACACAAATAAAACAAACTGGTATTTTAGCTAAGAGAAACATTACATTAACAACCACAAAAGCTAAACTTTATACATATACCAGTCATGACACAACTTGAAGTCACTAGACATTGACAAGGTGTTACTTCCAAAACTCAGACTGTGAAGAGTTGCAAATCTAAATTAGCAAACATTTTACTTATAGAAGGTTGACTAATAATATTAAAGCTTATTGTGCCATATAAAAAATTTGTTTCAAAATGTTAGCATATGAAAGTTCATGACTGTTTTCCTATCATGTGAAAAGTATTTTTCTTTGTAATCAATTTCTTTTAGATCATACTTTGTATTTTTTTAAATTAAAATAATAATGGGAAAATATTTTTTTGCAGACATGACAAATACTTCAACAACAACTGGTATTGTGGTTATAGCAGTGGTGTGTTGTGTAGTTTTAACATCCCTAGTTTGGGTGGTCATCATTCACCAGACCAGAAAGCGAGCTCAAACTACTGCTTTGGGTGGTCCCTCTGGGTACCCAAGGGAAGACGGGCTTGGTCGGTACCCATCTCACCTGCCTGCACACCACCACTTGCCTCCAGACCTTGTACACACTTTCACCCCACTCTTAGCAAATCCTCCCGAGACTTACACCATGGCACAGGATAGCGGCTCGGAACATTCCAGTGGCAAAGATTCGGGAACGGGAGATTCTGCTCAACGGTCAAGTGAAGACTTGCTTCCCTTAGATCTCACTCGACCGGGTCTCCGCAGATCGTTGATCATTTGTGCAGATTCGGGAACGGCTTCAGTCATAAGAGGTTAGTGCAATTCTCTTATCAAGCATAGCTTCCTATGGCAGATCAGAAAATCATATGAATTAATTCTTCATCTCCATATCTTTTTATATCTAAACATTTACAGTTTTCAGAGTTCTTAGAAACCATGTATGTGATAATTTTGTGCTTTACAGGACAAATGTCTCACTTGAAGTTTATACCTATTAATGACTGGAGGAGGGAGATTTAGCTCCTTATGCCCCCATCTCCTAGTCATTTATACCTGACATGCTAATTACCTCTCTCAACAGTAACATTTTCTTCATCATTTCATTTTAAAGTTGTGGATGGAATTGTCTTCAACAACCTCTGCGTTCAATTCATTCCAGTTGCTGACCACCCGTCTGGTTCCATGTTCTGGTACAGGGAACCAGAACTTCCCTACATCTTTTTAACTCGAGTGCATGGCCAGCTTCCACTCATGTACCCTTGTTCTACAATTTTTTTTAATTAAATAGACATCCTTTATTCACTATATCTATTCCCCTCAAGATCTTGTATGTAGTTATTATATCCCCCCCATTTCTTCTCTCCTCTAAGGTTGTGAAGCTGAGTTCTGAACCTGTACAATTTATACAAGTTGTGTGGATGTATTATACAGTCAGCCTTCACTGCCCTGTTATCAATGATATCAGACTAAATGGCACAACATACTGTAGGGGTTGTAAAGTATCAAGAGGCCCAACAAGCAAATGGCACGAGATAGTTGTACTCACCTAGTTGTGCTTGCGGGGGTTGAGCTCTGACTCTTTGAGCCCGCCTCTCGACTGTCAATCAACGGATTTTTTTGTTCTCTTTCATAACCCCCCCCCCCCCTTCCCTAAAGCAGCCTTTAGTAGCTGTCTAACTCCCAGGTACCTATTTACTGCTAGGTGAATGGGGGGCATCAGGGTGAAAGAAACTCTGCCCATTTGTTTCCACCACTGCCGGGAATTGAACCCGGACCCTTAGGACTACGAATCCCAAACACCGTCCACTCGGCCCTCAGACCCCCTTGACAACTGCGTTCTTAGTGGGTGCCGCTTGTATTCTGGTTGACCCGCATAACACAATTATCTTTTGTGTGTGGGTTTAGTTAGTGTCATAGTAGTGAATATTCTTCTCTTGAGTTTTCTACTATCTTAGAACATTGGCACTTGTGCTTGATGTGCGTAATAAGAGTACTGGGTAAGATTTGACTTTTTTGTTTCGGCGGCAGGTTGTCCTCGCCATTCTTGTGTATAGGATAGACAGGTTTGTTAAATTACACCAAGAACAAACATCTTGTTTACCAGGTTTTCTTTGTGCTGCAATCCAAAGCAAAGGTCCTGAGACCTACAATACTTTGTGAACTAATTTTTTCTCCCAGGTTTTGTTACCTGTGGCATCCTGGCACAGGTATAGGGATTGGCATAATTCTGCATGGTACAGGTTTGCAGTATGTCAGATAGAATTTTGTATTCATTCTCCCACTTGGCCATTCCTGATGCCTCTCATTCATACCCTTCATGTTTAATCCTTGTGTGCCATTTCTAATTATGTTGATTAATTAGGATGTCTGCCATTTTTTGTTTTTAATTTAGCTTTCAATGAGCGGGAAAGATGTGTAGCAGCACTGTTAGTCAAGACGAAGTAGTTAAAAAATAGTATTTATTTTTAACTATTCATGAAGATAGAGAATGGTGATGGAGCTTGTGAGTGGACACATTGTAGCCAGCCTAGTGATAGGCTATGATTTTGGTACTTGCACTGTTTCTCGCGTAAAAAGTTATACAGTACTGTGTTGTGAAGATCCCTCACTTGGATACTCACAGGTCACAAGGCAAGTACAGGAAGGGGAGGGGGGGGGATTACCTGTCGTTTTTGAGGCTCAACGTGTCCCATGGCCTCGGACTGTGACCAGGCCGCCTGGTTGGTGGTCTGCTCAACCACACCAAATTGGTTTTGTTTATTTTCTTGCATGTTAATGATAATTTTATACAGCTATATTACATTTTATATAATTTGTATGTGTGTGTGTATAAATACTGAGAAGTTCATACATGGATTGTGTTTCTGGGAAAAAATGCAAAATTGAGCAGACATGAGCTGCAACGGAATGTTGGATGGTCTATATGGGGTCAGTCTCAAGTATTTGACTCACAGGAGTCCACAGTATTCTTTTAGTCTCGTGTATTATGCTAGTTAACTTTTTTATAAATTGCCAGTACTGTATTTTTTACTATACTCTCCTTTGTGGCTTCATATGTATTTAAATCTTTCATTTATCCATGTGTGTATTGAAAAAGCCAAATAGGCAATTTTACTGAAACCAAAAAACAATAATCTCAAGCAGGTAGATAATATATACATAATTCTTTCTTTCTTCAGGTGTAAGTTCTGGTCCAGGTGAAATAATTGGGTGTGAGGAGGTAATGGGTCGTCCGAGACTCTCTACCTTTAGTCCCCAGCACCTGTCACCAGGAGGATACAGCCCTAACCTCTACACTGCGAGCCTTCGACGAGGCTCAAATTCTCGTCTTCTTCCCGTGTCATCGCCTGTAACTCCGTCTACAACCTTACCTCGTGGTCAGCATTTATGCCATACTAATTCTTCTACACAATCATCAGTTGCCTCTCCATCTGACACTTCTGCAAGGCAAGGTTATCCACAGCTTGTTCAAGCTGCTGTGGATAACCTTGGGAACAGTCAAAATAAAGACCAGTGCTGCCATAGTCCTGAAGTGGCTGCAGGAGAAACTTTGGTGAAAAATAATAGTGAAAGTAACGCTCATAACCCAAGAACCTCAGTGTACAGTGTTGGGGATGGAAGAAGTAAACTGGATTTAAGGACAGATAATGCTAATGGAAAAGTTATTAACAGCATTCCTCCAAAGCAAACTCTGGAGTCCAGATAATGGTCACTAGTGCAAATTATCTAACACTGCATCTCCCACCACAACTTTTATCTTGTCCATATTTGTAAAATATTTTTGCCATCATTCCATACAGAAGATAAAATTCTTATCCTTAAACTAAATGTTGAGAAATTGGAATAGATGTACAGTAGATGATATTTATGGTTAAGTTATAAAATAAATGGTGGGCAGGTGGAGTTAAGTATGTTAAGTACCTGTCTGGTGCCATAGTTGTTCCAGTGCTGCCAGTGTTAAGCTGTACAAAGTTCTCAACTTGTAAATGTCTTACTGGTATTTTAACTCTCCATTACATTTGGGTCTTTAGCCCTCTTCAACAGATTGTGGTTAGATTACCTTGTTGCAGGGTGTTATCTGGGAGCGATGAGCCACCAGCAGAGATGACCAGCATGTGCAGGACACAGGCAGTGAGGTGGTACACTATGGGGTCTCCCTTCCCTGTCTTTGAGTCGGGGCTGAATGGCAGCATCTCATAATGATGTACTGGAGAACCTTTTTCTCACGAATACATACATATTTCATCATTTATTTTATTGGGAATATTTAGACCAGACCAATTTCCCATTAAATGTGGATTTGCTCATTGAAAAGGATGATTCCAGATAACACCCTGACATATTCTGAGTTTATAAAATTGATATCACACTTGCAGTGAATGCTATCATATAGTAGAATGTGATAGGTTTTTATTAAATAAATTAGTAAATCCCTAACAAATGGTATAGCAACAATTGACAAGGTTAGCGGTACGTAAGTATAATTTGGACAAATATCATACTTGAGGGTTCTTTCTGCTCCATAGTCAAGGACCTTTAAGGGTTCTTTCTGCTCCATAGTTAAGCCCAAGTCTTGGCTTCAAAAATTTACAATTTAACTATCTTTTGTTGTTACATGGATGAACTACCCATATGAATAGTGCAACTTATTTAGTGGTAACAGTTAATGATAAATGGGAAAAATAACAGGGTGATGTGACCAGAATTATTTTCAATTCTTTCTCTAGCCTGTAAAGAGGTTCATTCATGCAAGACTGTGCTCTGTGAGCACACTCGTAGTCACGTACCACTTCTATTCACATAGGTGTACTATAGACTTGATCCGTAGAGGAAGCCAGCTAAATGCATTTTCCATAATATGAAGGGATTACCAGTACCTTGTAAACATTTGTGGTGCATTATTAGCTTATTAGGTTTTATTTTCATATATTGTAGAAAAACTTCAGCTGTGTTCCTTTAGAATATTTTTATATTTTATTTACCTAGGGACAATTCTTGTGCTTCATAGAGAATATGCAGTTGCTTAATAGAATAATTGCAATGGTCATGAATGGAAATGTCAAGAGTTGTTATAGTGTATTCATCATAGGGACCCAGTGTGTTTAAACCAAGTTTTCTCTCCCTAGAGCACTGCATTATTTGTTCCTAGTTGTTATGAAGTTCAAATGCTGCAAGCATGTGTTGTGAAATAGGTTAATAAAATATGCTCAGCCAAGCATTAAGATGATAATATTTCAGGCATTTATACACAAGCAAATTAGTGTACAGTATTGTAAGTTTATTTGAAACTAGTCACCCATTGGACATAAGCAGTTATTATGTCACAACCTTATATTTAATTGAGTGTTTCTGAAATTAGTTAAGAAATTAAAAATATAATCTAATTTATAAGTATTAGAATGTTATGTGAATGTTAATATATGAAACGTGTATATAAACATCACGTTTGCCATGGCAAAAATTTCAACATTACGGTGTAAACACACTTGATGACACATTATTTGAAAGAAATGGGTTAATTTTTTAGAACATCATTATTTAAGCATTTAATTTGACAGTATCAACTAAAGAACTTCAAACTGTTGAAATCTAATCAATACACCATTTGTTAAGCCTGTGATACAATATTTTTTCTATCACTTGTGGCTTTTATACATAAATATTATATTGAAAGATGTAACCAAGTTAGAGGGCAATAAAATACAAACTGAAGACTGTTACTTATTCAGTTTGAAAATTGAGAAATTGGTACATGAAATAGATTTTTACCCTAAAATGTATAGAAAGTGTCCAGAAAGCACCTAGTAAACATGTACAAATATTATGTATTAATTCAAAACAAAATTGCTAGATACATAAATTATGAAGTTCATTAGGTTTTGTGACAGTAAGTTTATTAGTTTATTCATCCATTAACATTAAGAATGGTTCACAAGATAAAAGTGAACGAGAGTTCACATTACATCCTCATTTTTTCCTATCTTAATGGTAAATACCATTAGTTTGTCTTTGTAAATGTCACATTTTAAAGAAGTTTTGTTAAAAAGCTTTGTTAGATAGTTTTATTTTAAATTCTAAACAATGCAGAGACCATCTTTTATTACAATGGCATAGTAATTGCCATTTAGGGCTATAGTTGCCTATTCTATATAGGCAACTATAGTTGCTTGCAAGGGATATTAATGACACTGGTACTAAAAATATACAGCATTTGTACACAAGTTGCTCTCCACACACATACAAGAACATATTGTGTGATAATAGAGCCAACTCTTCCATTGTGGGGGAAGAAAAGGCTCAGAGAGGACATGTAAATACCCTGTAAAATAAAATATTTTCAGGAAAAGAAAGTAGACAGAGACGAGCAGCTTGAAAGATAGTTCGACCAGGACAAGTGAGCACATTTTGCTTGGAAAAAGGCAAACATAGCTCCACTCTGCAAAAATAGTAACAGAAGACCCCTCTGAATTAAAGACCTGTATCACTGAAAGAAAATATAATTATAACAAAATGGGTAGAATACCCGGAAACAAAACACAACAGACAGTATGGTTTTTGACCGAGAAGATGCTGTGTAACAAATTTACTTTGTTTTCGTGATAGCTAGAGATCTTAGAGTTGGGGAAGATAAGAGACTTGCATGATTGCAAATGCTTTTGAAGATGACCTGGACAAAATAAGTGAAACAACACTTAGCAGATAGAAGTCAATGTGAATAAATCCCATATTATGGAATGTGGAATAGGAGAATATAGGCCACACAATCTACAAATTGTGTGAAGAGGTTTTACAGAAAACTCAGAGATTCAGGGGTGGTTCTGGACAGTAAGCTGTCACCTGAGGACCATATACAAGAGATTGTGTAATGAGCCTATGCTATGCTTTCCAATTGCTAGCTGCTGCCAGTGTTTTCTATATGAATGGAGAGACTGAATTAACAGTAGTGACATATCAGCTGGAGGTAGTGTCACGAGGCAAAGTAGTGCAGTTGGGCCATCACCTCAGAGGCGCTGTTTAAGACTGCTCGGGTATTATGACTGGTAGGCAGCCATGCGAAATGATTATGCTCGATAATTAAAGTATTTTGTGTATATTGCACAAGATTTACAGAGACTTTGCTGAGTATTAATTAATTTATATAATAAACATTGAGTAAAAGGCACCTATTATAGAATTATAAGCAATTACAATATAATTTTTTGGTACTTCATGTTCTGGGAAACTGAACAAGGGATGCCATATGGTGGAAAATATGTTGGATTTTGCTGCCTGTATGTACATGTACAATATAGTTATCTTTGCCCCCAAAAGGAAAATTGCACATCTAGTGGTTATTTGCTGGATTTTTAACACCTTTCAAACATTTGAGTCTTGGATACCAGTGTGTTGTTAGCTGGGGAAAGTGTGGATGTTTCAGTGCACAGTAAATTACAAATGCATTTATGCTTACATTTCATGAGTTTTTCAAACAATATAATTTTGTTAGAAATAAAAGTTATTTTTTTTTAAGTTTTTAGAGAAATTTAAATATAATAAAATTATGCATTTCTTACCCTGAATAAGAATTTACCACCATTACAAGCTGGGAATTGGTCATTGCAGTGTCACTTTTTATGGCATTGTGAAGCTAACAGAAAATGTGAGCAAATAGGCAGTTTGTGAGTAGTGCTTGGCAGTATTAACTGTTGTCTTGTGAACGTACTGACACAGGAATTTCAAAGAATTGGAGATTTAATATTATGTACAGTATTTAAGTAAACAATGAGGATGATAAATATTTGATGAAAAAAATGGCATTCTTAAGATTTATAAACATATGTATAATTTGTATGTAGATTGTTGAGGTTATTATACATGGTTGTGACATATTAACAGTTATTTGTAAAGTTATACAAATTGTGTTGTTTCTTCATGTCTTCAGTCTTTTGTAACAGTTATAATTTGTTAAATATTTTTTGTTTTATTGTGCAGAAGATTTTATTATTGACTTTGAGTTTTTATATTGTCAATGCAACGAGTCCGAGAATCTACCAACATAAAAGTACTATTGTGTTAGGAAGCCTCCACTAAGAGTGAAGGGTTTCTCTAGCACAATACTCAGGATGGGAAATTTGTCTTGCATTGTCCCCTTTCTTCTCTTTACTAATAATCCATCCTTTATGCAGCTTGAACATTTCATTATTAAATTTGTGTATATACAGTGATTTTTTTTTTTACCATGAAAACAATTTTTTTGTATACATTTCTCTCCAGTTATCTTTCAGGCTGCTAAATTGAAGCCATTCCATTCTTGTCTTCTAGAAATGAAGTAAGGGGAAATGAATTGAAAATACAAACAGCAGTACAGTGGTAAAATACAAAGTTATAAATGAGTACTGTATTCCTAAATCATCCGGCATGTATAATTGTTTAGAATCTACACAAACACTTTGATGCAAAAAAATTTTTTTAGTAATTTAATTTACCTTAATTTTCTTAATTAAGGTAATTAATTAAGTAATTCTTAATTTACCAAGTTAGTTGAACCTCTAACCAAGTTAATGATTTACAGTGGTGCAGTACAGGCATTGCGAGATGGCTATTTGGAATTTTTTTGGATTTTTTTTAATGATTTTAGGCTTATTGGCTTGCCCAAGGCCAATGACTTGCCCAGGAGTTAGTTTAGTTAATTTATTATGCACCCCATACCCATCTTGTGGGCAGTAGTGGAAAGGGTTACAGAGGCACATAATGGGCTCAGGGACTGAACCCCACAATTCATTTTAGCTAAGCAAGTTACAGTCTTGATGAGCTAGTTAACAAAATTCAATCCACATCATCAGAATGTAACTCAACAGGTGAGCAGAGGCATCAAGTGTAGGAAAATGTACCCTAATGTCTTGCTCAGTCCACAAATTGAACTCTAGTCCAACTGGTAGTTAGCAGACTGCACTAACCACTGCTCTATTGGTCAGATGATTGACCCATTTGATGCAACTCCTCTATTTATATGCACCCAAACTCATTCATATATCTAATCCATGATTGAAACAATTCAGCAATCCCACGTCTATTATGTTACCTGGTATTTGTTGCATAAATCACCCATCTCATGTCCAAAGCTGTATTTTCCACGTCTTTCCTTAATCTAAACTTGTCCAATTTATTTCCATTGTTTTGTTTTGTGTAGATAAATATAACACATTATTTATATCTACTTTGTTATACTCCTTCAACCATTTATATACAATACTTCAATTGTGTCAACCTTTATTATCTTTCTAGATAATATATATTGTTTCTTTTTTAAATTTCTTATTGGTTTGACAAATTTGTTCTAAATTGACTTTCCCATAATTAATTTGCAGTGCATATAACTTTATTTTTTCCAGTAAGATTCTTACGTCCCACGGATATTCATTTTGGGTCTATCACTGTTCGGTCAAATAAATTTACACGTTATACTACATTCCTGGGCTCTTTGGGCTCTCCTGGGCTCAGGATGTTCTTTAGTGAGTTATTATTTGAATCTACATCATAATCCAACGTGGTGCTACCCATTGTCAGACACACGTCACAATCTTCCCATCCCAGTAACTCCTCGATTCCTCAAAATCAGCTTTGCGGAAATGTGGCATCCCTAACACAGTTTTCTCCCGCACATCTTTTCTATGCTATATTCAATCCGATTTGTTTGATTTCCTGGCTCACTACATGTTTCAATGTTATGAGTGTCTCCCTCTTAGCTAAAACAGAGTTTAAAATAATATTTACCTCTGTTGGCTCCATCCCTGTTTTGTTTGTTCAGTTTGAAACGTAAACATTATTTGACCTCAAGACCCTAGATATTTCTTCCCTTACAAATTCTTTCTTCCAATTTTGTCTTGTGTTTGGTGGCTTGTATATAACTCCTGTTATTAGGCTATCATCTATTTTCCTTTCTAAGTAGGAAAAGTGATACTATGTTAAGTGTACATAGTACCTAATAACTTAGGTACTATGTTCATTAAACAATGGTAAGAAAATAACCACAAGCAAAGCGAAGGACAACCAACGCCAAGGAGAAATGGCAAATAAATGGCATGTCTAGGGCCAGACATGCAGGACGCCTCAGGTTTGTTGAATTACCCAAGTCTACCCAAATCCACCCAAATCTACACAAATCCTGCTAGCATTATATAAGTAATGAAGAAATATGGTATAATTTACTCACTATAATGTTGGTGCTGAATGCAGAACATGATCAAACCTATTTTTACTCTGAATTATATAATTTCATAACGAAATTAGAAGTACGTACTGTAAATATGTAGCGTGTTTACTACTTAAACTACTCGTGTCCTTTTCGCTCAAAGAACACTTAACTCTATACACTCTGATACATTGTTTAATAGAGATTCGCAAATAAAGATTATATTTGTATATGTTATCAGAAAGGCAGAGATAAAATAGTTTTTCTGAATCCCTCACAGAGAGAGGATTACCTCACCTTATTAGAGAGGAAAGATATTCATATTTTAAACAAGGTTTCTTGGCCGACGCTCTCCCTATCGATGAGAACTACGACCTTTTGAAGATCAATGTTAATTTTATCTAGATACTGTAATACACGAAGTTTTCTGTTATCATAAAGACAGGCATATAAGCTGCATGTTAATACTTTAGCATAAATATAACTGAAGTGAAAGTGAAAATATATGCCTTTTTATAGTTACTTGATGGCTAGCTCAAGGAGTGTGAAGGCCTGCACACAAGCCAATCAATTGTATAATTAATTTGCATATATGCAAAGTAACATTAAAGGTCTATATGTCAGAATAAAGACAGATGTAGACGATAATGTGACTACATTTCAAGGAAAATATATCTTAAATGAAGGCAAAGATATGGTTAAATAAAAAGCCAATACCACACCATCGCCGGTGTCCAGACACACGAACAGTCACATTAGGTGAAAGGAAATGAACCCAACCATTTCTGTCCCGCCCAGGATTCTCAATTGTGCGTCGAGAAAGAATACAACTACTACTGGGACCCCTATATACATATGATATGTTCTATATCATCAGAAAATTGGAAACACAATATATTTTCAAATATTTGTGATTAAAGCATTTATTTTGGAGACAGAGGTGTATTTTAGTTACCCTAATATAGAGCACGAATATCATAGACTCATCCTGTGAGTGGTAGTTTATTGTGCACCCCATACTCGTCCTGTGAGTCATAGTACATTCTGCAACCCTTTCCCATCGTGTCAATCTTTGTTTACTGTGCTCGCCATACTCATCCTCTGCTCGATAGTTCCTTGTGCAACCCATACTCATCCGGTGAGTGGTAGTTTATTGTGTACTCCATACTCATAATCAAGAAGTATATTTTATCAGCATGGTAATATAAATTAAGAATAAAGTCTTAACTGAATTATGGATCCATAATCAAAATAAGAGCCATCAATAATTATCATGACAAATGGGCTAGGTTCCATTTTCGCCTTCGACAAGCTGCTGCCGGAGGTGTGTATAGTTTATTGTACACCCCCGCACCCCCAGACCTAGGAACGGGGTATTGGACACCCCACATCCCCAGCCCTGGGAAGGGGGTATGGTACACCCCTACACCCCCAGACCTGGGAAGGGGGTATTGTACACCCCCACATCCCCAGCCCTGGGAAGGGGGCATTGTACACCCCTACACCCCCAGACCTGGGAAGGGGGCATTGTACACCCCTACACCCACAGCCCTGGGAAGGGGGCATTGTACAACCCCGCACCCCCAGACCTAGGAAGGGAGCATTATACACCCCCAGATCTGGGAAGGGGGCATTGTACATCCCCGCACCCCCAGACCTGGGAAGGGGGCATTGTACACCCCTACACCCCCAGCCTTGGGAAGGGGCATTGTACACACAACACCCCCCGCCCTTGGAAGGGGGTATTGTATACCCCTACACCCCCAGCCTTGGGAAGGGGCATTGTATACCCCTACACCCCCAGACCTGGGAAGGGGGCATTGTACACCCCCGCACCCCCAGACCTGGGAAGGTGGCATTGTACACCCCCGCACCCCCAGACCTGGGAAGGGGGCATTGTACACCCCCTACACCCCTAGCCCTGGGAAGGGGGCATTGTACACCCCTGCACCCCCAGACCTGGAAAGGGGGCATTGCACACCCCTACACCCCCAGCCCTGGGAAGGGGGCATTGTACACCCCTACACCCCCAGACCTGGGAAGGGGGCATTGTACAACCCCAGACCTGGGAAGGGGGCATTGTACAACCCCAGACCTGGGAAGGGGGCATTGTACAACCCCAGACCTGGGAAGGGGGCATTGTACACCCCTACACCCCCAGACCTGGGAAGGGGGCATTGTACACCCCTACACCCCCCGCCCTTGGAAGGGGGTATTGGACACCCCTGCACCCCCAGCCCTGGGAAGGGGTCATTGTACACCCCCAGACCTGGGAAGGGGGCATTGTACACCCCTACACCCTCAGACCTGGGAAGGGGGTATTGTACACCCTACACCCCCCGCCCTTGGAAGGGGGTATTGGACACCCCTGCACCCCCAGCCCTGGGAAGGGGTCATTGTACACCCCCAGACCTGGGAAGGGGTCATTGTATACCCCCAGACCTGGGAAGAGAGCATTGTACACCCCCAGCCCTGGGAAAGGGGCATTGTACACCCCTACACCCCCACACCTGGGAAGGGGGCATTGTACACCCCTACACCCTCAGACCTGGGAAGGGGGCCTTGTACACCCCTACACCCTCAGACCTGGGAAGGGGGCATTGTACACCCCCAGACCTGGGAAGGGGTCATTGTACACCCCCAGACCTGGGAAGGGGTCATTGTACACCCCCAGACCTGGGAAGGGGGCATTGTACACCCCCAGACCTGGGAAGGGGGCATTGTACACCCCCAGGCCTGGGAAGGGGGCATTGTACACCCCCAGGCCTGGGAAGGGGTCATTGTACACCCCTACACCCCCAGACCTGGGAAGGGGACATTGAGGCGAAAATCGCGCTATTTATGGCCGGTAGCGGCGAAAATCGCGATTTTTGCCCGCCAGCTGCGAAAATCGCATGTTTTTGGCCACTAGCGGCGAAAATCGCGCGGTTTTTGGCCGGTAGCGGCGAAAATCGCGCTATTTTTGCCCGCCAGCTGCAAAAATCGCATAGTTTCTGGCCGCTAGCGGCGAAAATCGCGCGATTTTTGGC